TTACGATTGCCTGAGCGCGACAGCTTACCTGGCGGCAGAAGATTACGAAAAGGCGTTGCAGTTCGCCAACAGTTCGTTGGAGCGTAACCAACGACACCTTTCAACGTTGCGTGCAAAGATTATTGCACTTCATTTCCTGGATCGAACTGCGGAAGCAAAGGAAATTGCAGATGAATTACGGCGCAGGCAGCCGACATTTTCGGTTGAGGGCTACATGAACGCACACCCGGCGGCCGACTATCAGGTTGGCCAAAATGCAATGCGCGCCCTGCGGGCGGTTGGTTTTTAGACGAGTAATTGAAGGGGGTAATCATGGCCTATTTCGGTGGAATTGGCGGTATCGGTGGAATTGGTGGCATAGGCGGCATAGGGGGCATTGGAGGTATCGGTGGCATTGGCGGCATCGGGAACCTGAATGCAACCGGTCTCGGCAGCTTTCTTGGAGGCAGTGGAGCGCTTGACCCTCTGACGATTCAAGGTCTGCAAACCAGTGCCCAGGCGATAAGTCATGCAGCCGGGGATGGAACCACTCATCCATCCAGGGAAATGAATTTTTCGTCGAGCGAAAACCTCGACAAATGGGCGGACTGGGTCCGGGCATCCCTTTATTTAAGCGATTTCATGAGCGAACTTTCCTGGGAAGCGAAACAAGGCCCCACCGATGAAGTGACGCTGTCCTATCGCTCTCACGGCGGAGGTGCACTGCAGCCGTTCTTCTCCGTGGTCCGCCCCGATGGTGAACTGTTCGACAAACAGCTGGACCTTGTTCGTTCCTATATGGACCAGCGCCCTGAACGCACTGCGGAAATTACGTCGCAACTCGGGTTCCCGACCCCTTATTTCGCAATGATAATCGGTCTCATCCCCGGCAGGAACAACAAGACCCTTGAACTGATCACCCTGACACAGGTTCTGGCAGCGCATGTTGCGATGATCGTGAAGCATCATCTGGCAATTCGGCGCCCTGACCGAATTGGAGTGTCGATCCTGCCAATGATCCCGACACCGGGTCATGGCAGCTTTCCGAGCGCGCATGCGACAGAGGCCTTCGCGGTCGTGCGTATGCTCGAGGGACTGATTGATGCGTCGGGATCTCATTATCCCGATGGAGACAAGCGCAAGAACCTCCTGCGCAAACAGGCCGAACGCATTGCCGTCAGCCGGACGGTTGCCGGGGTTCATTACCCTGTCGACAGCTGGGCCGGTGCGTTGCTGGGCAAGATGGTTGGCGAGATGGTGTTGAACAAGTGTGGCGTGCAGACCGAAATGCGAGGGCTGAAATACGAAGCCCGCGCGGAGTCGGACTTCATGATCTCGCAATATCAGCCGACCAAATGGGGCGCTCACGGTGTCTCCGAACTGGAGCTTTGCACTGTCGACAAGAGTGACCAGTTTGAATGGCTCTGGAAGAGTGCGGTCGATGAGTTTGACCTCTAGGAAAGGGCGAACCGAGCATGACCGATACAAGCACAAATGACGGTGGTCTCGCAGACGCCGTCGCGATCAAGAACTATCTTGGCCCCTACGAAGCCTGGAATTTTGGCCTCGGCAAGGCCTACGCTTTTCCAGCTTATCGCGGTGACGACGTTCGTTTTTTGTCGGCATTGGCGGAACATCCGGAACCGCAAAGGCCGCATTCTCTTCTTGATAGTGTGGCGAGCGATGGTCACGGAATGTGGCTTCCGACCGTCTGGGGCAAGGAGGACGACGTTGCCCTGCGCTTCTGGCCGATCGTTGTTGAAAACCGTTCAGATGACGGCATTGCACCAGACAGCTTGGCCCTGAACCTCACGGAAGCGATGCCGTCGGACCCGATTGGAGAGGCACGCTTTCGCATGGCCTTTCCTGTTGAAGAGGAAGCGATGCACCGCCACGCCAGGCGAATGACGGCTGATCCGGACTGGAAACCGGATACAGGCGTCGGGACCGGTGATGGACCCAAAAGGACGATTAATGTGTTGGGGGTGATCGACGACGGCATCCCGTTTGCTCACCGGAATTTCCGTGCTGCCGATGGCAAGAGAACCAGACTGGAATTCTGCTGGTTGCAATCGGCACACAAGAAAGAGGGGCAAGACCATCCAAGTGTGCTGTTTGGCCGGGAGTTCACCCGAGAAACCATTGAACAGCTTATCGCGAAGCACCCGGAGGATGAGGATGCGCTTTATGCAGAGGCAGGAGCTTCCGACCAGCAGTTCGGTTCGGGGGCGGCCATCAACCGGCTTGCAACCCATGGCTCGAATGTCATGGATATTGCTGCTGGCTCAAACCCGGACAAGGGACACGCCCCACCGGAAGAAACCCGTCTGATCGCCGTGCAGCTTCCCAACACCTATGGTTGGGACACGTCCAGTTTCGGCAAGGACATGTATATGCTGTCCGCCGTGCATTACATCCTTGAACGCGCAGAACGGATTGCTGAAGGTTACGGGGTCAAGGATATTCGCGTAACCATCAATATCAGTTACGGGTTCTCGGCCGGTCGCCATGACGGGGAGGGAGAACTGGAAGCTGCGATGGATGAGATCGTCGCAAAGCGGCGCCAGTTGGGCAGACCGACCGCGATCGTCATACCATCCGGAAACACTTTCCAGGATCGGCTGCACGGGGAAATCACATCCGGTCACCTGGGGTCGGGGTCTTTTGAATTCAGCTGGAAAACCCAACCGAACGACCTGTCGTCAAACTACCTCGAAATATGGTTTCCCGATCAGCTGGATCCCGGTGACTTTGATATTGAAGTCAAGGGTCCGTTTGGCAAAATCAGCGCTGAAATGGCGTTGAAACCCGATCCGTCTTACCAGCATGGCGACCCGCGAAACTTCAAGTCAATTCAGCTCGATCCACCTCATCAAGGCGACGCCATCGGGCAGATCAGTCTCGACAATCACAGGAAGTCCGGTCGCTGGCGTGTCCTGATCTCGCTTGCGCCCAGTGAACCGCATGACCCTGCCTTGCCGGCAGCCCCTGCGGGTGAATGGAAGATTGTCCTGAGCCGCGGAGATGTGGCCCCCAGGGATCACGAACCGATCTATCTCTGGGTGCAACGTGATATCGATCTGGAGCCCTTTTTGACCGGTTCCCGTCAGAGCTATCTTCACGATGATGACTATCGCCTCGTAAGCGAAAAGGGTGCTGAAGAAGAGAGCGATCAACCAGACAGCAATGTGAAACGTTTCGGCAGCCTGAACGGGATGGCAACCGGCGCGACCACTTTGGTCGTTGCGGGATCGCGACCGGTGATCGGATCCCGTTTCGAAAGGGGTGAGTTGATGGCATCGACCTTCAGCTCCGCCGGAAAAACCGCCTCCGGTCCAGCGGTCGGCGGCGTCGATTGCACGGCACGGGCTGACCGGTCGAACATAGTTCCCGGCATCGTCGGGGCAGGAACCCGCAGTGGTTCCTATTCTTCTGTTCAGGGTACAAGCGTTGCCGCGCCGCTGGTTGCAAGGCGACTTTCGGAAGCATTTGCCAGATGTTCGGACCAGGAGATCAAGAACGCGGAAAAAGACAATTACCTTCCGATCGTGCAATCGATTGCATTATCGGATCAAAGTGTCGAGGGTCGTGCGCGATTAGGTAAATTTCTGGTTATTTGAATTAGTAAAAGTTGAAAATTTACTCAAAAGCCCGGTTTCAGCCGGGCTTTTTCATTTGCTCGGAACTTAATTCACGCTTTTCTCACGCGCGTGAGCGCAATGAATATTGTAACTAATAGCCTCAAGAGCAGAGCAACAGCACAGACGCGTTCCGGAGACGGAAACAAGTGCGACAGAAGTATCCCTCGAAAGGTGGTTCCGTGAAGAGGGAAGATTGAGCGTCCGGCTTTGAAACGGATTTTTGCGGGCCACGATGCACCGGGAAACGGTTGCCACGAGGCCCGACGCGAGGAAGACAGCCCCATCGACTGCCTGCTTCCTCAAATAACGTATCGACGAAAGCTTTGGAGGTAATCATGTACGCCGACATCCTGGAAGCGACAGTCTTGAACAACACGCGATATGAGAAGGATCCCAACAGATGCCTTGCCTATCACGTTCTGGATGACAATCGTGTTCCACTTACTCAAGAGCAGGTTGCTGTTGAGTGGTCAGCGTCAGGCAAGGGAGAAGATGCGCACCCGATCAGAATTCGCCGGTCGCCGATCCGCATCTGCGCAAGTGGTGACTCCTGGATCAACGTTGTGATCGAAGTGTCACGGTATCTTGGCTACAACAAGACCTTCTTCGACATCCTCGAATGTTACTACCAGACAGCAAGCTCTGCCTGGCCCGGATACACCTTCGACGACCTGATCGAGCAAAAGCCTTTCCGCGTTCACGTGGATACCGGTGTCTATGATTATTTCGTGTTTTCAGGCGGCGGCAACGAGCTGCTGGGCGGCTGCGCTCTTTCCAGGCTGCTGAAGGACAGAAGCGCAGTATTGGGGTCCGATCGTCCGGAAGACTATCTGCACATGGATCGCTTGGAAGCGGTTCTGGAGAAGTTGAAAAAGGGATATGTCGAGATTGCCGAACACGTCCTGAAACAGGCGCCGCGCACGCAGTTGCTTGTCCAGGGATACGACTATCCGGTCGCACACAGCGACGGGCCATGGTTCGGTCGTCCCTTCGCAAAGCGCAATTTCCGCTTCGAAGCTGACAAGGAACTGATCAACGCGATCCTGACTTATCTCGTCGACCGTTTCTACGGCTTCCTTCACGATGTCGATTCTCAGTTTCCGAACGTGACCGTGGTTGATATCCGGAACATGGTTCGCGGTCGCTGGACGGACGAATTTCACCCCGAAGTCGAGGCATCAAAGGATATTGCCGGTTACTATCGAAACGTGATTGACGGGTATCATTTTGTGTAAGTTTTCAGTTTTGCGGGCAACCGCACCAGATCTTTTGCCGACGGTCCGAAAGGACCTGAAGCGCTAGGCATTTAATCTGAAATTTGTTTTTAATCGTGTTCGGTGGCGGGGCTTGTCCCCGCCGCTTATTTTTTTGAGGCGAGACTTATTGTTCGAGCCTGCGGGCGCCGGCGGAAACATCATTTTGTTCTGGGGCAGGTGCTTCGGTCGCCGCTTCCGATTTGCCGAAAATCTGCGGATAGGCCTTTTTCGTAAAGGGATAGATCAGTTGACCGCGAAGGCTCTGCTTCATGTTGTCCGTAACACCCGTGGGAACGTCACAGGGTCCTGGAACACGACAGGTGCCGAACATCTGGTCCCAGAGCGAGAATACGGTTGCGAAATTGGTGTCGAAGGCCCTTGGGTCGGTCGCATGGTGCCAGCGGTGCATGGCAGGCGACACGAAAATCCGGCCGAGCGGGCCATAGGTCCATGGCAGGTCCGCGTGGATGAACGCGCCATAATAATGCCGGACAAGGCCGTTCGCGACGATTGCGAATGGGGGAACTCCCAGGAGGAAAAGCGCAAGATTGTCGATGACAAACGTTGTGAACCGGTTGATAGGATGAAAGCGCTGCACCGCGATCCAGGTCATCTGCGTGTCGGAGTGATGCACCGCATGCGCAGGCCAGAGGACCCAGGTATGCTCCAGCCTGTGCCGCCAATACCCGACGAAATCGGCAATCGCGATTGCGATCAGTATTGTCAGCCAACCCGGCAGTTCCGACCAGGTGTCCAGCGATAAGAGGCTCAGACCATTGTCACGGACGAGTTCTGACAGGAATGTGCCGAGAATGATGATCATCGGCACAATGAACATCGCGTCAAACAGCATGAGTTTGACGTTGAGGTGGATTTCAGGCAGGGCCCGGCGCAGGTCGCCCAGTGCTTTTTTCCGCCGCATGAGCAAAGCGAGCAGCGAAAAAAAGATGATCGGCACCAGCAGTCCCTTGAAAGCCGAAACGACGGCCGCGATCGAGGTCGCAATAAGATTGATCAGCGCTTCGCTCATTGAGCCACAAGCCTTTGCACAACAGGAAAATATCGCCTGTGACAGCTTATCGGCCGGGGTGTTAAGGCTGGCTTAAGGGGTTGCCGGCGCTAAGGACGTCTCGTCAACAGCGCCCTGCATCCGTCTTCGTGAGTACTGAAAACAGCATCCACGAGACCAAAGGCCAATTTGCCTCGCTATGGGGTCCAAACTCTGATGTGATCGCTCTATTGGAGCGGCGCGTCAACCAGATCAGCAACTGCCGAAGTTTGCTGGTTTGGGCGTTTCCGAAGTGTCCCCTCGTTTTCAAGGCTGGAACCTAGTTCAGATAACCGAATGTCCGGGGTAACCAGAGCACAAGACCCGGAAACAGGATCAACGCGGAAAGTGCTGCCAGCAACACTGCCAGAAAAGGCCAGATTTCCCTGATGATTTCATTCAGCGGGATGCGGGTGACCGCGTTGATGACAAACAGAAGGATGCCGTAGGGAGGGGTAATCAATCCGATCATGCAGTTCACGACTGCCACCACGCCGAAGTGAACGAGGTCGATGCCAAGCTCGCGGCATGTCGGTATGAAAAGCGGAATGATGACGAGGATGATCGTCGTTGCATCCAGAACGCATCCCAGAAGCAGGAGCAGAATATTGACCATGATCAGGAAGGCCAGCGGGTGGATATCGAGGCCAACCAGTTGCGCTGCCATGAGTGTCGGGATGTTCTCTGAAGCAACGATATAGTTCAGGATCAACGCGCCACCGATCACGATGCCCACCGCCGCGGAAGACCGCGCACTTTCAACGAGGATCCCGTAAAGCGAACGAAGCGACAGGGCCCGGTAGAAAAGTCCTGCCAGGACAAGCGCATAGAAGGCGGCGACCGCGGCAGCTTCGGTTGGTGTCGTGACGCCGCCATAAATTCCGTAGAGCAGGATCGCGGGCATCAGAAGGGCCGGGAAGGCGTTGACGGTCAGTTGCGGCAACTCTACCAGGGGAACCGCGGGCTCCAGTGCGAAATTCCGGCGATGCGACAGCCAGATGTTGAGCCCCATCAGCACGGCTCCCATCAACAAGCCCGGAACAATTCCTCCCAGAAACAGATAGCCGATCGAGGTGTTGGAAACGAGCGCATAGAGCACCATCGGGATCGATGGGGGAATGATTGGCCCGATGGTGGCGGACGCGGCGGTGATCGCAGCTGCATAGCCGCGCGTGTAGTGACCGCTTTTGGTCATCATCTCGATAATGATCTTGCCGATCCCTGCCGCATCGGCCACTGCGGATCCCGACATTCCGGAAAAGATCAGGGACGCAACAATGTTTACGTGGCCCAGCCCTCCACGGAAGCGGCCGACAAGTGCGATGCAAAACTGCAGAAGCCGATCGCTGATCGTTCCTGCGTTCATGATGTTTGCGGCGACGATGAACAAGGGAACAGCCAGAAGCACAAAGCTGGAATAAAGCCCGTCCATGAGCACTTTTCCGGCAAGGCCGATGTCTTGTCCTGCAGCAAACAGATAGACCAGCGATGAGACGAGGATGGCATACGCGATCGGCGCACCGAGGCCTGCCAGCAGAAACAGTGTTCCGAGGCACAGCAGAAATTGAATGCTCATTCGCTCTGTCTCCGGCCGTCTTGCTCGGGCATTTCAGACAATCCATGGCGGTAAGCCTGCCAGACAGTCCAAAAGTAGCGCGCCGAGACTGCGACGAGAAACAGCATGTAGACCACATAAAGGTCACGCATTCTGATCCAGTCGCCGAACAATGAAGAGAGCGTGGCGGTTTTCTTGAGCCTCAGTATGTAGAACTTGGACCAGGTGGGTTCAATCGAAACGGCGAGGCCAATGGCAATGCACAAGCCGAAGACAATCACGAAGATGCGCCTCAGCTTCCGGTTGACCCGGCTGTACAAGATGTCGAAACGCACGTGATCGTTTTCGCGAACCACAAAGGCATTGCCCCAAAAAACAAGCCATAGCCACATGACAAGGCAAAGCTCCAGGGTCCAGCCAAACAGCGTCGGTTCAAGAAAAGGAAGATATTCAGGCAGCCACTCCAGGCGTGCCGAATAACGGATGAAAATTTGAAGTAAGAAGGTCAGGAACATAACGGCCATCATGGCCGCTGCAGCCGCCTGGGCCGCGTGTCTCAGACCTGCAGCAATCTGTTTCATGTTTGCCGTTCACCAATTTGGGCAAGGGCGAAACTTCACCCTTGCCCTGCCTGGGTTAGTTGCCCAGTGCGTTGATTTTATCAAGCACACCGTCAGGCCAGGAGGCAGCAAACTCGGAACCGACATATTGAGACTGCACATGGTCACGGAAGGCATTCAGGTCCGGTTCGTAAATTGCCAAACCTTTTTCTTCCAGAAACGATACCAGTTCAGCTTCCTTTTGAAGCTGGGCATTGCGACCGCTTTCGGCGGCAGCTTCCGCTGCAGCTTTCACTTTCGCCTGCTGTTCCGGAGTGAGTTCATCCCAGACAGCCTTTGAGAACGCCACGTAGTTCAAATCCACCAGATGCGAAGTCAGTGCGATCTGATTGGTGACTTCGAAAAACTTTGCATCCACCACAGTCGGCAGTGGGTTGTCTTGCCCGTCGACAGAACCGGTTTGCAATGCGGTATAAACTTCCGTGAAAGCCATCGGAGTCGGGTTTGCACCCAGGGCTTTGCCCAGGAACTGCCATGCATCGGTCCCCGGCATCCGCAGGTTTACACCGGCAAGGTCAGCCGGGGTTTTGACCGTCAACTCATCCTTGGTTTGCCGCAGGTTGACATGACGGCGGCCCAGATACATGACGGCCAGAAGTTTCACACCCAGTTCGTCTTCCACCTTCTGCTTGAACGGGTCCATCAATGGATCGTTGAAAACACGCACCTGATGGTCGGCATCCTGATGCACATAGCCAGTCGCAAAAATCGAGAACTCGGGGAAATACTGTGCGAGTTCCTGAGCGGATGCGATCGACATTTCCAGGTCACCCGAAGCGATGGCTTCAAGCTCCGAATTCTGTTTGATCAGCGACGCATTGTAATGGGGCTCGTATGTCGCGAATTCCGCCACTTCCGGTGCAAATACTTCTGCCAAGGCGACCGACCGCTGGTCGGTTTCGGATGCCGGCGTCGACATGCGAAGCGTAACCTTGTCGTCAGCCACTGCGGATGTGGCAATCGCCAAAGCCGTCAATGCGGCTAAGCTATTAAGAACAAAAGACGATTTCATTTTACTTCCTCCTCAGTCATTGCGGTGTTTCCCGCATTCTTCGTCAAACCCCAAGGGCCCGGCGTTTTGCGCTGTCCACGTGAGCATGCACAGCTTCAACAGTTTTCCCGACGTCGCGAACCTCAAGTGCGTTGATGATCACCAGGTGTTCGGTCATTACGGACTCCACCAATTCCGGCAACATGCGGGTGTCGGAGTTTCTGATCAGGCGTATCTTGATCGCATTCACCCGGTGAATGTCGGAGATGATCCGGTTGCCGAGAAAATCGATGACAAAATCATGGAATGCCCAATCCATATGCTGTGCACGCGACAGTAATTCCGGCGTCACGCCGCGCTCCGCTTCACTCAATGTATTACGGTGTTCGCTTGCGATGCGCTCAATATCGGCATCCGGCGCATTTTCGCAAAAACACGCGAAGGCCTCGCTTTCGATAATCCGGCGCAGCTGGAAAGCATTGCGGATCAGTTCCAGATCGATATTGAGAACCTGCAGACCCCGTTTGGGGACCGTGCGGATCAGACCGTCCGCCTCAAGCCGGGGGATCATCTCACGTATTGCGCCCAAGGGCATTCCTGTGAGGTCGACAAGTTCCCGTTGAGACACGATCTGCCCTGGCTGAATATCACGCGCAAGGAGCTTTTCGGTGAAACTGGAGTAAGCGTCATCGCGAAGGCGGCGTTCGGTCCTGTTCATGCGGCCATGCCCTTTCCTTCCGCCGCTAGAATTTCGGACTTCTGTTCCGCCGTTAACCGGGTCAGGGGTGCACGCACGTTTTCCCAGACCGGATCACCCAACGCATTGGCCAACAACACCTTCAGGGTCGGGATAACAGGCAGGGCCACAATCCGGTCAACGGTTTGCGTAAGCATCGTGTCTTCGGTTGAAGAGGTGATGATGTTGCAAAGCCTTTCGGGATACAGATTGGCAACGCCCGTGATGGACCCGACACAACCCATTGGAACAGCTTTGTGCAACAGGCGTTCATCGCCTATCAAAACCGGCAGCAGCTTGCTTTCCAACAATCGAACGGCGTTTGCCCAGTCACCGGAGCTGTCTTTTATGGCGACTATCCGTTCAGGGTTGGCTTCCTTGAGGCGCTTGGTCAGGGACGACGATATGCCGACACCGGTAACCTGAGGAATATTGTAAAGAATGATCCCGGCTTGTGAGTTGCTTAAGGCCAGGAGCTCGGCAAACCACCGAAAGACGCCATCTTCACCAGCATTGCCGAAGTAGCAGGGAGGCGGCACCAGAAAGCGAGTGATCCCGGCTCGCATTCCTTCGTCAATCTGGGCCGCAACATCCGCTGCTGCCGACCCATAAACACCCAATACGATGCGATTGCAGGACAAGCCGGTTTCGAGCAGCGCACTGATCCCGATGTGCCGCTCGCTTGCGGCAATCGAAGCACCTTCACCCGTGGTGCCAAACAAAGTCACGCCAGACACACCCCGGCTGACTACCGAAGCTGCATGAGTGGCAAGCCGTGCCACGTCAATGCAGCCATCATCTGTGAACGGGGTCAGCAATGCTGTCAGAACGCCAAATTGTGCCATCGGTTTCCCTGGATTGAACTACCCCATAATACATGACATTTTAAACATGTACAGGCTAACATGTTACGTGTAAATTTTGGAGAGGCCACCATGCCAACCGTCATCTGCGCCGGATTGATAACTCTCGATGCGGTATACGATCTGGACGCTTATCCGCAGGAAGGCAGCAAGGTCAGGGCAAGCTCTGCCCGGCTGTTACCCGGTGGCGGTGCGCTGCTTGCGGCAACGACAATTGCGCGATTGGGCGGGACGGCCCGGCTCGCCGGGGCCATAGGTGACGATCTGTTCGGTCAGTACCTTCGCGGTCAAATGACGCTGCGTGGAATTGATGATGCTCTTGTTCAAACCCTGAGGGGCGAGGCAACGGCCCATTCCGCAATATTCGTTACCGCTGATGGTGAGCGCACCATTGTCAATCAGAGGCCGGATCATCTGCGTGACATGAAATTGACAGCCGATGTTCCCGAATTCGACGTCGTTCTGGCAGATACGCGGTGCTGCAATCTGGCGATAGAATTGTTTGGGGTGGCAAAACAGCAGGGCAGGCCCGCGGTTCTGGACGGTGAGGCACCATTGCCTAGGGATCTCCTGCCTTTTGTCAGCCACCTTGCACTTTCCGAACAGGGGTTGGCTGACTTTGGTGGCAAATCGTTGTCCGGGATCGCAGCACAGAACCAATGCTGGGCGTGCGTGACGCGCGGAGCAGCCGAGGTGCAAATTCATGATGGGAGCACAGTTGCCCCGCCGCAGGTGACATCACTGGACACGCTGGGAGCAGGCGATGTTTGGCACGGTGCCTTTGCCTTTGCATTGGGTGACGGGCTCAACGAGCCGGACGCTGTTGAATTTGCCAACACATCAGCGGCGCTGTTCGTCTCGCGCATTGGGGAGGAGCGATTTCCTACCTATGACGAGGTCCAGGAAAAACTCGAAAACTGAGATATTGCCGGCTTTGAGGATGCCGGGATTGGGTGCAGGAACCATCTGCGCCATCCGGCTACCAATATGCCGGGTGACATCCGGCAATTTCCATTCGGCCCCACGCGGTGAGGGGACGCGAAAAAACGAGTGACAGGCCCTGATCCAGAGGCTTGTCATTTGTCTGCTTCGCACCCTCGAAACGGACGTTCGTCTGTTGTCCGCCTGCTACCGAAAGCCGGCATTCGTTCCATTTCGAGCAAATATCTGAGAACGGGAAGCGGATTTCCGTTGCAGCGCGGCCATCATCGACCCATCCAGCCACCGTCGACAGTCACAATGGATCCGTTCATGTAGTCGGAAGCTGCCGAGGCAAGGAAAACAGCCGGACCGGCGAAGTCCACGGCTTTGCCCCAACGGCCTGCCGGAATGCGCTCCAAAATCGACTTTGAGCGCGCCGGATCGTTTCGCAGCGCTTCGGTGTTGTCCGTTGCAATGTAACCGGGTGCAATGGCGTTCACGTTTACCCCGTTTGCGGCCCATTCATTTGCAAAGGACTTCGTGAGCTGGCCAATCCCTCCCTTTGAGGCAGCGTAGCCCGGAACGGTGATGCCTCCCTGAAACGTCAGCAGGGATGCCGTGAAGATGATTTTGCCGGAACCGCGCGCGACCATGCGGGATCCGACTTCGCGGGTCAGAAGGAACTGCGAGGAAAGATTGATTTCAATCACCTCATCCCAGATGTCATCGTCGTGTTCGGTCAAGGGTGCCCGCTTGATCGTGCCGGCATTGTTCACAAGGATGTCGATGACCGGGTGTTCTTCGTTGACCTTCGCTGCGAAGGCCTTCAATGCGCACCGGTCACCGAAGTCGCATTGGTAGGCGTGAAAGCTTCTGCCGAGCGCTTTCACATCAGCTTCGATCGCGCTGCCCGCGCTTTCCAGGCTGGCACTGACACCGATGATGTCCGCTCCGGCTTCTGCGAGTGCCACTGCCATGGCTTTGCCGATCCCCCGCTTGGCGCCCGTGACAAGGGCGGTTTTTCCCGCAAGGCTGAAACTGTCCAAAACACTCATGTGTCGTTCCTGGTTATCTGGATCATGGATTTGATTGCGCTCGGATTCTGTGTCAGCGCTTCAAAAGCGCCCTGGATATCCTCAAGCGGCTGGATGTCGGTGATAAAGCTCGAGCATTCGACGACACCCTCGGCCAGAAGCCGCATGGCCTGTTCGTAGTCCTCGGGCCGATAGACGCGCGCTCCGAAAAGCTCCAGTTCACGCCAGAAAAAGCGGAACATGTCCACGTCCGGTTTTTTCGCATGAATGGCCACCATCACGATACGGCCACGTGCGGCGGCCGCATCCGTCATCAGGTCCACACCGGGCTGACTGCCCGAGACTTCGAACACCACGTCCGCTCCCTTGCCACCGGTCAGATCATTGACCTGTTCGGCAGCATCGGACGTTTTCGGATTGATGGTCGTGAAACCCAGCTTGTTCGCATAGGCAAGCCGGCTTTCGCTGATTTCACTGATCGCGACGTTGCCACCGGCATTGCGTGCGACGAGGGCGACCAGAAGCCCGATAGGGCCACCGCCGATCACAAGCACGTCCTCGCCCGGCCTGACCCGGGCTCTGCTCACGTCATGGCATGCGACTGCCAGCGGTTCGATCAGGGCGGCGTGAGACAGGTCAAGGTCTGCGGGAAGAACATGGATGGTGTGTGCCGGGACGTTCCAATACTCCTGGAATGCGCCTTCCGTATCGATCCCGATGAACTTCAGGTTATGGCAGATATGATCATGGCCCGCACGGCAGGCGGGACATTCACCGCAGTGATCGAGTGGTCTGACCACGATCCGGTCTCCCGGTGCCAAGCCATCGACACCCTCTCCGACGGCCTCGATTGTGCCGGACATCTCATGTCCGATCGTGCGTTCGAAGCCGACACGCTGGTCCATGTGACCGAGAAAAATATGGAGATCTGTTCCGCAGATACCGCAATAGGCCACCTTGACCTGAACTTCACCGGATCCCGGCGCGGGTACATGCTTTTGCTCGAGGGAAAACGTCTTGTCGCCGCGATAGACGGCAGCATTGCTGATCATGGAAACCTCTAAAGGGTAAGAATATTGTGGGGTTCAAGAAGCGCCCAATCGAAGTCAACACCGATACCGGGTGCCTCCGGGGCGAGCGCCAGATGGTTCTCTACCCGGAGCGGCTGCTTTGTGTATTGATCGATCGGGAAGGAATGAACCTCAATCCAACCGGCATTGACCTGAGCGGACACGAGGCTGACATGGAGTTCCTGCATGCCGTGACTGCAAATCGGCAAATTGTGCTCGCGCGACAGATCGGCAACTTGCAGAAAGCCGGTCACGCCGCCGCAATTGGAGGCATCCGGCTGGATGAAGCTGAGTTTGGCATCCCTGAACGCATATTCGAATTCATGGATCGTGTGAAGATTTTCACCCATTGCAAGCGGGCAACCCGTTGCGTCCGCTATCTTGCCGTATCCCTTGTAATCGTCCGGAATGGTAGGCTCCTCGAACCAGAGAATATCATACGGCGCAAACGCCTGTGCAGCGGTGATCGCCTCGTCCACAGACATGGAGTAATTTGCGTCGACCATGAACGCTATGTCCGGACCGATGAATTCCCTTACAGCTGCAATGCGTGAAAGGTCGGCTTCGATGGTTGGCTGACCGATCTTGATCTTGACGCCGTTGAACCCGCGATCGAGATATCCCTGAATGCTCTTGAGCAGCTTGGGCAGCGGGAAGTTGAGATCGATGCCGCCGCAATAGGCCTTGCAGCGATTGTCTGCGCCACCTGCCAGTTTCCAGAGCGGCCAATCGCGTTTTTTACCTCGAATATCCCAGAGCGCAATATCGACGGCCGAAATCGCGAAGGAGGCAATTCCGCCGCGCCCGACATAATGAATATGCCACTGCATGCCGTCATAGAGATCTTCGACCGCATTGGCATCCTGGCCGATCAGAAACGGGGCCAGGTCGTGGTGAACCATTGCGGCAATCGCGTGACCACCCTTTCCACCCGTATAGGTGTAGCCCGTGCCCTCTGTTCCGTCGGTGAGCACAATGGTGACGGTCACCAGTTCGAAGAGGGTGTGGTCGCCATGCTTGGCATCGACAAGTACTTCCGCAAGGGGAACGTGGAACAGTTTCGTGTGGATCTCCCTGATCACAGTCATTTGGCGAACTCCACATTGGGTCGGCGGTACATGACACGCGTCTGGAAGAGAATCACGGCGAACAGGAAAGCTCCGCGGATCACCATTTGCCAATAGGCGCTGAAGCTGATCCAGCCCTTGCCGTTTTCAAAGTTCAGGATGTTGAACACAAGACCCAGAAGCAGCGCACCTGCAACAGTTGCGGGGATCGATCCGAGACCACCGGTCAAAAGTGTGCCGCCAACCACGACCGATGCGATGGCCGAGAGTTCCCAGCCGACGCCTTCCAGCGGTTGTCCGGCGCCGAACCCGGATGCCAGAAAAACACCCGCAAGCCCTGCACAGCCGCCGGAAAGCGCGTAGGCAAAGATCTTGGCACGGTTGACCTTCAGACCCATCATGACGGAAGCGTCTTCACCGCCGCCGACCGCCAGGATCGTTCGTCCGAGACTGGTCATCTCCAGGACAATCCAGAGGCCAATGATCAGGATACCGACCAGCACGATTGTCCAGGGCACGATCCCCATGGCTTTTTCCATGCCGAGATGTGTGAAATTCGACCCCCAGTCGACGGCAATTGTCTGGGCTCCGGAAATCACGAGCGAGCCACCCTTTGCACCTAGCATTGTTGCGAGCGTCGCGATAAACGGGGGTATTCTGCCGAACACGATACAGACCGCGTTGAAGAGGCCAAAACCGACACCCGAGAGAATGGCAAGCGGCATCGCCACTTCGATGCCATAGGGGCTGAGATAGGCTGCGACGACCGAGGTGAAGGCGGCAACGGATCCCACGGAAAGGTCGATGCCACCCGTAAGGATGACAAAACACATGCCGACGGAGATCGCGATGAACATCGCGTTGTAGTTCAGGAATGACGTGATGTTGTAGGCGCTGCCGAAATTGTCGTAGCGCAGTAATCCAAAGACGATGAGCACGAACAGCGCGATCCACACCGCCACCGATTGCGGATTGCGCGAGATGTATTTGCGCATGTCAAAGGCGTTTTGATCAAGCACTGTCCTATTCCTTTCGCGCTTGCTGGATGTAGACGGCAGCCAGGATGATCGCGGCCTTGGCGATGAGCGCGACCTCGTCTTCAACGCCGTTGGCCAGCAATGTGTATTTGACGAGCTGGATGATGACTGCGCCGAGAATGGCACCGAAGATCGGCGCTTTGCCGCCTTGCAACAGTGCGCCGCCGACCACGGCTGCCGCAATCGCATCGAGCTCCATGAGATTGCCGTTGCGCGCCGCATCGGAGGCGGAATTGATTGCAACGACAATCAGACCGGCGAGGCCGGACAGAACGGAACAGATGACATAGGCGCCGATCTTGACGCCGCGAACAGGGCCGCCGGCAAGCCTTGCAGCCCGTTCGTTGCCGCCGATTGCAAGTAGGTAACGGCCGAAGATCGTCCGATTCACCACCCAGAACAGCAGGCAGGCGATCGCCAGCGCCAGCCATCCCTGGAAGGGAAATCCGAGGATCTTGCCGGTGCCCAGATAGCTGAATTCGGGATTGGAGAACGTCTGTAGGTTTCCGTTGGTGAGAACCTGCGCGATGCCTCTGCCCGAAATGAACAGAATAAGCGTCGCGATGATCGGCTGCACCTTTAGGACCGACACGATGATGCCGTTGAACATGCCGCACACCAGCGCAGCCAACAGCGGGAACAACAGTGCTGCAATCAGTCCGAGGACCGGATAGGCCTGTCCGAAATCGGACAGAAAGATCAAAGGTGCCAGGGCACCTGAAAGGGCCATGACCGCACCGACCGACAGGTCGATCCCGCCCGTCGCAATCACCAGCGTCATGCCCATGGCGACAATCGCGATTGTAGCGACCTGGGAAATGTTGACCGCGAGCGTCTGTGTGTGGAGGAAGTTCGGCGTCACGAGGATGTTGAAGACCAGAATAATCGCCAGCGCGATCAGGCCTCCGTGATCCTTGAGGCGGGACGTATAGTCTGTGCGCATGGTCTCTTCCGATGTCACAGTGGTCATGGCGTTGCATCCTCGTGGTGGGCAAGCGCCCTGACCAGGGCGTTTTCAGTTATGCCCGGATTGGTCAGCTCGGATACCGACTTGCCTTCATGCATCACGACGATACGGTTGGCGCCTTCGACCAGCTCTTCGAATTCGGAACTGATCAGGATAACAGCGTGCCCCTCGTCGACGAAGGTCCGGATGATCGCCTGGATCTCGCGTTTTGCACCCACATCGACGCCGCGTGTCGGTTCATCGAGTATCAGGATGTCAGGTTTCGTGGCCAGCCAGCGGGCAAGCAGAACCTTTTGCTGGTTTCCTCCGGAAAGCTCACGAATGGGTTGATCCATGTGTGAGGTTTTGATGCCGAGTTTTCTGATGAACTCGCTGACAAGCTCCTTTTCGCGTTCCCTGTCGATTTGCCCGTTTCTTCGCAGGCTCGGCAAGAGCGCAAGTGTCAGATTTTCCCGGACGGACATATCCGGAACGATGCCTTCCGCCTTCCGGTCTTCCGTCAGGAAAGCGATCCTGGCCCGGATCGCTTCGGAAGGTTCTGCCGGTTTGAACTCCCTGCCATTCAGCCGGAGGGTTCCGGAGGTCAGGGGATCCAGACCGAAAATACTTCTTGCAGCCTCTGTGCGCCCCGACCCGAGAAGGCCGCCGAGGCCGACGATTTCACCCCGGTGGAGAGACATTGAAAATTCCGACAGTCGTGGTCCGGTGGCAACATGGTCGACATCGAGCACGACTTCGTCGAAGGCAGCACTGCCGCCCGCCAGTTCGGTCAGCCCCTCCGCCTCGATCTCATCGGCGTTGCGCCCAAGCATGGCTGCGATCAGGTCAAGTTTCGTCGTATCGGCGATTTCGCGGCAGCCAACCGTCTTGCCGTCGCGCATGATTGTCACGCGATCACAGATCTGGAACAGTTCGTCGAGAAAGTGGGATACGTAAAGCACGGAAACGCCAGATGATTTCAGCTCCCTGACGACACCGAACAGGATTTCGACCTCGGAACTGTCCAGCGACGAAGTCGGCTCATCCATGATGACAAGCTTGGCGTCCATGGAAACGGCACGCGCGATCGCCACGAGCTGCTGGATCGCGGTGGAATAGCTGCCGAGCGGTGCGGTAACGTCAATTTCAATGCCGAAGCGGGACAGTATTTCTCGGGTGCGCCTGTGCGCTTCCGGCCAGTTGATCATGAAGCCGAAGGATTTCGGCTCCTGACCCATCACGACATTCTCGCTGACGGAACGCAGCGGAACGAGGTTGAGTTCCTGATATATTGTCGCGATTCCGGCGCTTTGCGCTCCTCGCGGTGACGACAGATGGCTGGGTGTACCGGCAAATTCAACCTCACCTTCGTCGCGGCGATAAAGCCCGGTAAGGATCTTGATCAGGGTAGATTTTCCCGCACCGTTTTGGCCAATCAGTGCATGAACTTCGCCGGGTTCGATTTCAAGAGACGCATCTCGCAGAGCAGGTACTCCGCCGAAATGTTTCTTGATCCCGGTCATCTTGAGCAAGGGTGCCATGTGGATTCCTGTCGGCACGGAAGGAAAAAAGCCGGAAGAGTGGTCTCTTCCGGCAGATGGCATCAATAAGCTTCGTCGATATTCGCCGCAGCATTGTCAGTGGTGAAGATACGGTCCTTGACCTGCACCCAATGCTCTATGGATTCACCGGCGGCGTACCGTTTCATGGTTTCGCAGGCCAGCGGTCCGAAGAACGGCGAGCTTTCGACGGTAACGCCCATCTTTCCGTCGATAATCGCCTGAAGTGCATCCCTTGTGCCGTCGATCGAGACGACCAGAACATCTTCGCCGGGCTTGCGTCCCGCCAATTCAAGCGCCTGGATGGCACCGATCGCCATTTCGTCATTGTGGGCATAAACGATGTTGACGTCGGGATGTGCCTGCAAAAGCGTTTCCATGACCTGGCGACCGAGATCGCGGGCAAAGTCACCGGATTGCGAGGCAACGATCTCAAAGCGGTCGTCTTCCAGGATGCGGTCGTCAAACCCCTTCTTGCGGTCATTTGCCGGCGATGAACCTGTTGTTCCTTCAAGCTCGACGATGATGCCCTTGTCACCTTTGAAGTTTGCGATGGTCCACTCCGCGACGCGGCGACCCTGATCGATGAAATCAGACCCAAGGAAGGCAACGAAATCTTCGCCCGGCTTGGCGGCATTCGGATCGACGGAACGATCGACCAGGAATGTCGGTATGCCTGCTGCCTTTGCCTTTTTGACAGCAGGAATAAGCGGTTTTTCTTCGCGCGGTGGCAGGAACAGAACGTCGATGCCCTGTGCGATCATGCTGTCGACGTCAGCGACCTGCTTGGCTGCAGAACCGGCTGCATCTGTCGCAATCAGGTCCCAGCCGCAGCTCTCGGCCGTATCATGAAAGGATTTGGTTTCCGCGATCCGCCACGGATTGTTGGATTCCATCTGGGCAAAGCCGACCTTGTATCGATCCTTTTGCTCAAGGGGCGGCAAGCCGGCGGCCGAGGCGATCGAAGTCACCGCGCCGAAGGCGATGGCAGTTGCCAGCAAGAGTGTCCGTTTCATCATTTCCTCCACTTTGGTGCGACCAGAATCCCCCCGGTCGCGAGATTTTGAGGCACTAACCCCAATTCAGATAGGCTGTCTGCTTGCGCAGGTAGCCGTCGAAGCCGTAGCGGCCGTCTTCTCCGCCCAGTCCGGACAGGCCCCATCCGGTATGAAATCCCTGAACCGCCTCTCCGTTGGACCGGTTGAGATAGAGCTCTCCGAATTTCAGGCGGTAGGGTGCCTCGGCCAGACGTTTGTAATCGCGGGTGAACAGGTACGCGGACAGTCCGAATGACGTGTCGTTCGCATACGCGACCGCCATGTCGAAATCATCGACCCTTACAGCAGTTGCCACTGGGCCGAATATTTCTTCCCGGACGGCAGGATTGTCATTTCGCGTTGCTTCAAGAACGGTGGGTGCGAGCCAGTGTCCCTTCGCAAAGGGACCGTCCTCCAGAATGCCGCCCTTGAGGAGAATGTCGGCACCTGAGGAAATGCTTTGAGCGACGACGTCGGCAACTTTGTCCCTTTCCACGCGGCTGACCTTGGGACCGAGGTCCACATTGCCGAGCGGATCGCCGATTTTCAGCGCTTCTGACGCAGCAATGAATTTTTCCAGGAATTCGTCTGCAATCGAGCGGTGAAGATACATGCGCTCGTTACAGGTACAGATCTGTCCGCAGTTTGTGTACCGCGCCGCAACCGCCGCGGAGACCGCGCTGTCGATGTCTGCGTCTTCCATGACGAGGAAGGGTGCCTTGCCTCCAAGCTCAAGACGGATGACCTTGATATCCTCCGCGCCGGATTTGTAAATCTCGCGCCCGGCACGCGTGCTTCCGGTCATCGTGACGAGATCGGATAGCGGGCTTCGGACAAGCGCTTCTCCGACGACGCGTCCGCGGCCGGTGACCACGTTGAACACTCCTGCCGGGATACCGGCTTTGTCGCTCAATTGCGCAAGCGCGAGACCCGACAACGGGGTCGCCTCATGTGAGAGCAAAACGAATGTGTTTCCGGCTACCAGTGCAGGACCCAGCTTTCGTGCTGCCAGTGCGAAGGGATAGTTCCAGGCGGTCAATCCAACCACAACGCCGTAGGGGTGACGTCTGATGTGGATCTCTTCCGAACGGTTGTCCGATGTGACGATGTCGCCTTCGATCCTGCGAGCGTTTTCCACGGCGTATCTCAGGAAGGTGATGCCGGCATCTATCTCCTGAAGTGCGTGGCTCAGCGGCTTGCCCTGTTCAAGGGTAACAAGTCGCGCGAGGTGTTGTCTTTGTGCCGCGACCTGATCGGCGAGCGAGGCGACAAGGCTGCCGCGTTCGGCGGAAGGCATTGCCGCCCAGGCCGCTTGTGCCTTTTTGGCAGATGTGAGTGCTTTGCGGGCATCCTCAGCGTTCCCGTCCGGGATTGTCGCAATGACGTTTTCGTTCGAGGGGTTCTCGACCTCCAGCGCGTTCGTCTGGCCACGTTCGACCCATTGGCCGTTGATGAACATCTCGGCGGCTGTGGGCATTTCGGAACTGAGGGTAATGTCGAACACGAGATTGAATTGCCTTTGGTATGACCAAACTGAGATAAGTAAGTTGATAAAAGAGACCAAAGTCAATCTTAAATTGGCAAATTGGTACTTAAAAATAATAAACATATGAAAAACAAGAGAAAATAAGGGAAACTTTCAAGGAGTTGGAAAAAATTGCTTTACGAGAAAAATATTTATGTCATACCAAAATAGATGAAAACGATGACACGGGAGAGTTGATGCCTCATGGACATCGGGAACGACACGGGGCGTGCGGCGGATAGTGTGGTTGCGATGCTGGAAGCGAAGATTGTTTCCGGTGAACTGGAAAACCGGGCGCCACTACCGGCCGAGCGGGAGTTGATGGAACAGTTCGGTGCCAGCCGGACCGTCATCAGGGAAGCAATCTCCAAACTGTCCAGCAGGGGCTTGATAGAAACGCGCCCGCGATTCCGGCCGATTGTTCGCAAACCGGATTATGCAACCGTTCTGCACGCGTGCGGCAATGTCGTTCAGCACCTTTTGACGGAACGTTCCGGCATAAAGAACCTCTATGACAGCCGTGTCTTCATCGAGCGCGCATTGGTTCGGGAAGCTGCCTTGGCAGCGCGCAAGGAAGACATTGTCAATCTCAGGGCTGCGCTCGAAGACAACCGGAATGCCATTTCCGATTCCTCGGAATTCTACCGGACCGACGTTGCCTTTCACGGTGTTCTTTACCGGATACCGAGGAACCCGATCTTTCCCACGATCCACGAAGGCTATACGTCCTGGCTTGCACCGCAGTGGGATCGCATGCTGCGCTCACCCGAGCGCAATGAAGTGAATTACCTGGCGCACAAGGCCATTTTGGACGCCATTATGGAACGTGATCCGCTGGCTGCCGAAGAGGCGCTCACAAATCATCTGAAGGCGGCCTGGGAATTCGTCCGTGTCACGTTCGATTGGGGGGAAGAATGACGGCCGAATTCGATTACATCGTGGTTGGAGGGGGATCTGGCGGCGGCGTTGCCGCATCAAGGTTGGTCACATCGGGTGGTGCTCGCGTTTTGCTTCTTGAAGCAGGGTACTCTCACCGGCATCCGTTGCTTGATATGCCTCCTGGCATTTTCAAATTGATCAACGGATCCAAATACATGCGATACCACAGGACAACACCGCAATCGCATCTGGACGGGAGAGTGCACGAAATTCCACAAGGCAATGTCCTTGGCGGAGGATCATCCGTCAATGCACAGGTCTATATGCGAGGCCGACCGCAGGACTACGACAGCTGGAACGGGATCTTGTGTGGCAATAACGACAATCCAGGCTGGGCCTGGTCGGATGTGCTGCCGCACTTTACCGGGATGGAAGCAAACAACCGGCTTTCTGGCGACCTTCATGGAACGGACGGAGAAGTAAAGGTTTCCGATCCGGGTTACATAGATACGATGTCGCGGTGGTTCGTGCAGGCTGTGCAGAAACTTGGCGAGCCCTACAACTCCGATTTCAATGGCTCAAGCCAGCGCGGTGTGGGATTTTATCAGTTCACCAACAGGCACGGTCGGAGAAGTTCGACTGCCTATGCGTTTCTTGAGCCAATCAAGGATGATCCTCGTCTGACAATCAAGCTTGAGGCCTCCGTTGACAAGGTGATTGTCGAAAACGGTCGGGCGGTAGGTGTGAGGTATCGAGACCCCACAGGCTCTCATGAAGCGCGTGCAAGTGGTGAAGTCATTCTTGCAGCGGGTGCATTGGTTACGCCAAAGATTCTCATGTTGTCTGGCATCGGGCCGGCAGAGCATCTCAGGGAATTCGATATCGCCGTCCAATGTGACTTGCCTGGCGTCGGCCAGAACCTGATCGATCACCCGGAAGTGCCAATCACGGCCTATTCAAATGGACCTCATGGGTACTACCGTCAGGGTGAAGGTTTGCGAATGCTCTGGAACGGCCTTCAGTTCAAGGTTTTCGGCAGCGGTCCCGTGACCTCTGCAGGTGTTGAGGCGGGTGCCTTTGTGAATCCAGGAAATCGGGATGCCGAACCGACAATACAGGCCTTTTGTGTTCCCATCGTTTATCTCGACCGGGATGCTCAAACCGAGTTGAAGGACGGGTACGGGGTAACCGTCACGACCGTTGTCGTGAAACCGAAGTCGCGAGGCGAAGTCAGGCTCGCATCGGCAGACCCGTCTCACATGCCGATCGTTTGTCCCAATCTGTTAAAGGAAGAAGAGGACATGCAGGAAATGATCGCTGGTCAACGTTTTTTTGTTGATGCGTTCAAATCTGAGCCGTTGGCATCGAAGATTAGGAATGTCGCGATCCCGGATCCCGGGGACAATTCGGACATGGCATTGAGAAATCACTGCAAGCGGTTTGTAAAGACAAACTACCATCCTGCCGGAACGGCTCGCATGGGTGCCGATGGCGACGGGATGGCAGTACTCGATGCCCGGTTGAAGGTGCGTGGCATTGAGGCCCTGAGAGTATGCGACATGTCCGCTGTGCCGGATATCAATGCAGGCAATACCAATGCGCCTGCAATGATGATTGGATCACGATGCGCCGAGTTTGTGCTGGCATCTAAAAACTGACGGTCGCATAGAAACGTCACTTTTATCTGGCATGCCAACTTCCGCTGAAGTTTCGGGCAGGTCGAATTTCTGCCCAGGATGAGAAAACGTCGTGTGACAGCGGCAGGAAAGAACCCGTGTACCGCTTCTGACAAAACCTTTTTTCTGATTTCGGCGTCTTTCAGTCATCGAACATGACTTTTGCCTACATCCGCTTCGCGACAATCAGGCGAGATATTGCTTCGCGAACTTTCTCCGCTGTTGGAAACAGGCCGGAATTTATGTGCTCGTCCAAAATGAGGGAGCCAAGCGGGGGGCGGACGGGTTTTCTCAATGAGCGCCAGGGCAAATAAATACCTCGATGCCAGGTGGCAGGACTACTGGATTTGTTTGACCGACATACCTGAGTTGCCAGTTTTCTTTCCCATTCCTTTCCCGTCTCTTTTCCAATCCGACGCGGCACGCTGACCAAGTTTGCATTCAGTTGGACGGTCGATTGGACTGCCCGTACGACAGGTTTTCTTTAGTGTCTTGAGTTGAATGGGTAGCGGGATAGTGGGCGCACGAAACACTGCCTCATGCTTCCCCGGTGCATCCGCGAAAAATAGCCTTTGGCTGAACGAGCTCGGAGAAACTGAAAAAATGGAGCGGGTGAAGGGAATCGAACCCTCGTCTTAAGCTTGGGAAGCTTCTGCTCTACCATTGAGCTACACCCGCTTCGACCGGATTGATTTCTGCGCCGACTTGCCAGACCTGTCAAGTTGGGGACTTTCCTTTTCCCAGGAGACGTGATCTTGCGCTGCGGCGAAGAAATCGCCATGTTCGCGCCGGCGCAACAGCGCGGATTTATCATCGAACGAACGAACCCCGGGTCAGGTAAATGCGAAATCAGGTCAGGGCGCTGGTCACCTCGCGCAATTGGGAATTCTGCATCATTTCGATCATCGTTTTGAACGCGGTGACGCTGGGGCTTGAGACAAGCTCGTTTATGATGGACAGCATCGGCGGATGGCTTGTTCTGTTCGACAAGATCATTCTCGGAATATTCGTGGTGGAACTGGTCCTAAGGCTCTACGCCCATGGCCTGAGTTTCTTCAAGGACCCGTGGAGCATCTTCGATTTCGTAATTGTCGGAATTGCCTTGATACCTTCCAGCGGAGCCATGTCCGTGCTCCGCTCGCTTCGCATCTTGCGCGTATTGCGCCTGATTTCGGTAGTTCCCTCGTTGCGCCGCGTAATCGGCGGTCTGATCGCTGCACTGCCGGGCATGGGATCGATTGTCGTGCTGATGGCGCTTGTTTTTTACGTATTTGCAGTCATGGCGACGAAACTGTTTGGACAGGCATTTCCCGAATGGTTCGGCGATCTCGGGGCTTCGCTTTACACGCTTTTCCAGATCATGACGCTTGAAAGCTGGTCCATGGGCATCGTGCGTCCGGTGATGGAAGTCTTTCCGCTTTCCTGGCTTTTCTTCGTTCCCTTCATTCTGTGCACAGCCTTCACGGTGCTCAACCTTTTCATCGGTATCATCGTTTCGGCCATGCAGGAGGAGCACGAAGCGGAGGCCGACGCGAACCGGCAGGCAATCCAGGACGAGACAAGCCAGATCCTGGAAGAGGTCAAGGCGCTTCGTTTGGAGCTGAAGGAACTGCGCGGCAAAGTCTCCGAAAAATCGACTTAGGGCATATCCTGCAGGCTGCGCTTGCGTTTCTTTGAAGCGCATGATTTGACCAAACCATGGCACAGGCACCAAAGGGAACCATCGCGGCCGGTCATCAGCTTACGGCCGATGCAGGGGCTGAAATGTTGCGTGAGGGCGGCAACGCCTTTGATGCCGCAATAGCCGCACTGGCGATGGCTTGTGTGTGCGAACCGGTTCTGGCGTCACCGGGCGGTGGCGGATTTGCCATGATTCGCGATGGGCAGAGCGGAAGGACCACGCTGCTCGACTTTTTCCCGCAAACCCCGAAACAAAAACGTGGCAATTGTTCCAACGGGTTTCACAGTATTACCGCCGATTTCGGGTCGGCCACGCAGGTTTTTCACATCGGGCCTGCAACGGTTGCCGTGCCGGGATTTTTCGCGGGTCTGACAGCGCTTCATGAAAACGGCGGGACATTGCCTCTGGCGGATCTGTTCGCACCCGCAATAGACGCTGGAAAATCCGGGCATCGCGTCACCGGATATCAGCATTATCTGTCGACGGTGGTCCGGCCGATACTGACTGCAACTCCGGCCGCACAAAACCTTTTTGCGCCTTCCGGAGAACTGCCGGCTGTCAATTCGCTTTTCTACAATCCCGGGCTCGCCAATCTGTATTGCGAATTGGCGCGCACGGACTGGCTGCAAACCGGCATCGCAGATCAATTGCTGACAGAGCAAAGCGATGGCGGCCACTTGAGCCGTGAAGATCTGGAATCCTATGAAGTGGTCGCCAGAGAACCGCTTGCCGTTGCTCTGGGCGGAGCAGATGTTTTCCTGAACCCGCCACCCGCAGCCTGCGGGGTACTGATCCGATACGCACTCGCCCGTCTTGATGGCTGCGATTTGCCGGCTTTCGCAAGAGCACTTCACTTGACCGACCAGGCGCGGCTGTCAGCCTGCGGAGACCTCGGCAGGCTTCTGGACCGTCCCTTGCGCCAGAAGGGAACAACTCACATTTCAGCCGTGGATGCTGAGGGAAATGCCTGTTCGGTCACCGTTTCCAACGGGACCGGAAACGGCGAGGTTGTGGGCGGCTATGGGTTCATGCTGAACAACATTCTCGGAGAAGAGGATGTGAACCCGCATGGTTCAGCGGACTGGCCCACGGATACCAGGCTTGCATCCATGATGTGTCCGGCCCTGATCGATGCACCGGGTGGTCGTTTGGTAGCGCTCGGCTCGGGCGGGTCCAGCAGGATCCGCTCGGCAATCCTCCAGGTTGTCGCGCGCTTGTGCCTCGGATCTGCCGAACTGGAAGAGGCTGTCCGCGCGCCGCGGCTGCATATCGAGAACGGGCACCTGGACGTTGAGGCATTTGATACTGATAGCGGGATATCGCAACTGAAAGACCATTTCCCCGACCATCGCATTTGGCCGGAAAAGAACATGTTTTTCGGAGGAGTGCATGCCGTTTCAACTGACGGCAACAGTGCGTTCGAGAGTGTTGGAGACAGTCGCAGGGAAGGCGCCGCGGTGATCGTTGAGTGACTTTGGAGCCTGCATGAAGCTGTGCGCGGTTCGCCATTGACGGCACCGTCGCAGCAGAACTGACCTCGGAATCGAGTGTAAGGTTTCCTTCAAGAGCCGTCGGCGCTTCGATGAACAACGAGTTGCTGAAACGGTATCGTCCAGCCATTTTGGGTGCAGCATTCAATGGCGAAGCGCGCCAATGCATGCTCGACGGTTTCATAAACATGACCCATGCCGGGACCGACGTCGGCTTCGATCTCGAAATCAAGTGATGAGGCACCAGCCCGAAACAGCGTGACATAGGTTGACAGGATGCCTTTCTCGCCAAACTTGGCGCGAAGCGCACCGTCGATATAGGCCTGCATTTTTCCCGGAATCTGTGTAGCGGCGTCGGCTTGATGCGCATAGTCAATGCCAAACTCAATCGTTGCCCGATAGCGGTCGGACAGGTTCTTCGGGTTCTGATCCAGATAAGCCGGTGTCGTGAAGTGGGAAACGGCGCCGCCTTCCTCGCGCAGGTGAACCGCTTCCGGACTTTGCAGGATCACTTCGGCCCACAAGCCATTGTCGAGCAGGACCCAGTCGCCTTCCTCGGAAGGAAACCACTTTTCATTGCCGTCCATGGGCCTTGAATGCTGGCCTCTCAATTCGCGCACCGGCACCGTGTAGTGTCCACCTCTGAGACTTGGATTTTCAAGTTCCGAATAAAGGTCAAGTCTGCTGACGCGCCAGGGAACATTGTTGATGACGACCCGTTCCCCCTCCTGAACGGCACCCAGGTTGAGCAGCAGGGTAACTTGTTCGATCAGGCTTGGGAGCGACTTCAGAAGAAACCAGCCGATGGTGAGAAAGGCCAGGAGCATGGCGCCCGTCAGGAACCAGTCGTTGTAGAAATTGAAGATTGCGATCGTGGTCCCGAATGCAAGGCAAAGCGTCAAGGCATCGTAAATCAAGGTGCCCAGACGAACCGGAAAACTGCGGTTCCGGCTTCTGCCAATCAACGTAAGCAGGACACGCCTCATGAGGCGCGAGACAAAAATCACAAGCACGAAGGCGAACAGGCCGATGAAAAAGTTTCGCCCCCGATCGCTGAAGAAGGAGGTGAATGCCTGACTTGCAACATCGCTGGGGTCGACTTTTTGGTCGAGCCTCGACCGCAATTGCTGTTCCACGGTGATTGACTGATCACGTGCCAGGATCAACCGGGTTTCCCAGTCCTGAAGAATGAGTTCGAGTCGCTCACGCAGGATACTGTCGGCGGGTGCGCGCTCGATCATCGGCTTGACGCGCTCGATCGCCTTTTCCGCCTGATCCGTTGCTTCGCTCGTCGCCAGTATGGTTTGTTTGAGTTGCTCTATTTCGCGGGCATTTTCGGTCGCCGACTTCAGCGTCCAGATAAACGGGCGAATGAGTTCCTCGACTTCATCCTGTAGCTCGAAGGAAGCGTCTGCCGGATTCAGTTCGTTTTCGGTGAAACCGGTGGCCAGGCTGACGATTTGGTTTTCCAGCCGGACAAGTTCCAGGTTGACTGTCTTCAGGCGTTCGCTCAGTTCTGCTCGATCCACTTCGGTGCCGGCATTTTCAATTGCCTTTCGCAATTCGCCGGCTATTTGCCGCTTCGCGTCCTGGGCGACAAGGATACTCGTGATTGCATTCAAGGATGCGGAGATTTCGGCGTCATTCTGTGCGCTTGGCGTATCGCTTCCTGGTACTTCAATCTGTGCGTTGGCGACTGAAGTCAGCAGCGTGAGGAAAGTGAGCACGAGGAGAAACAAGTAGGGGGCAAATCCCGTCCAGATGCCGGAACTCGCAGAAATACGACGACCTGCAGTAGCGGAACGCGGCGTCGAAAGCTCCCAGCACAAAGTTGCGGCTGCTAGCGCGCATTCCGAACCGGTCGTGAGGGTTTCAGCCCCCCGCTGGCGGAGACACGCACTGGGCACGGGATTATGCCCGCGCAGCAAATGAGTGTCCTTTGATACCGGCTTGTCAGCGCAGTCCTCTTGTTTCAGCAATGTCATGACGTTCAAGGTAATCTCAAAATCCTCAGCTTCGCCCGATCACAGTAATAGTTGGATTCGTCAAAAATTGATCTGAAATTTAGGTATGAACATGGCTCCAGTCGGAAAATGCCGAATGGCCAACCCGCGCACTTGTGGCGCGGGTCGAACAATCACGGGGCAACCGGTCCGTTAACCGGCAGGCGTCAGCTGAAGAGAACTCAGGCCGACAGCAAGATTCAGCCCGGTTTTGCCCTCGACACTCAGGGGCTGGAGCGCAATTTTTTCGTTGGATCCACCGATCAGTGCGTTTGCACCAACACCAAGGCCGACAGAAGCGCCTGCCGTAATGCCGGCATACTTGCCCTTCAGCGCGTGGGAGCCGATTTCGTTGCCGATCGGGGTGAAGACGATCCATGTCATGTAGGATTCGCCCGAAACCCCGATGTCGAGACCCAGCTTGCTGAGCTCGCCGGTATATTGTTCGGTGGTGCCGTCCGCGTGTTCAAAGCTGCAGGTGGCTTTTTTGCTCGAGCCCAGCAGCAGACCGAAACCACCTTCGATTGTGCACTCAAGGACGCCGAGTTTTGTGGATTTGGCTTCTTCGGCCAAAACGTGTCCACCTGCGAACAGGGTTATCGCGGAAACGGCTGCAATTCTGGCGAAATTCAACATGTGGCAATTCCTTACATATGCTTGTCAAAACAAGGATCCTTTTTGGCCGGACCGTGCCCCCAGAGGCGCTTGTCCGGATGACCCGCATCGGAAAATGCAAAATGCAGCTGTTTGAAAAAAGTGGTTCATCAATGCAGTTATTCCCTGCGGGGGGAATTTCAGCGCTTGAAATTCCCCTAGCGGTCCGAGCCGAAATTTGACAAACCTATGGACTTCAACGGGAAACGAAGGACTTCCGGACTGACGGAAGCCCGACGAAGGAAGATAGATGATCGACAGGACCTACAAGAAGAGGAAAACCGGAACCCTGAAGGAGGCTCAGTCCGCTCTGGTGCAAATGTGTGGTGGACCGGCTGCAGCAGCAGAGTTTTGTCGTGTAACCAGCACTACACTCTTCAACTACACCGACGACAGTGCCACCAATTCCAGCAAGAACATGCCCGTCGACATCGTGACGGAACTTGAAACGCATGCAGAGTTTCCAGCTGTAACGGAATATCTGGCAGATCAGTCCGGTTACATCATGTACAAGGTCGATTTCACGGACAGAAAGTCCCAGCTTCATATCGACATCATCGAAACCGGAGAGGAAGTCTCCAAGCTGTTCCGGGACTGGGCGCAATTTATCGCGGATGGTGTGATCGACAAGTCGGAAGCCCGCAAGCTCCTCAAGATCAACCAGGATGTGGTCAGGACACTGATGCGCATGAGGTCAGACCTGATTTCCCAGATCGATGATCCGGACATTCCGGACGGGACGCCCTGACGGGACGGCCATTCGTGCCCGTCGAGCTTTTGGCCGACTCCGAACCTTTTTCTCCAAAGGCCGGATAACTCGGCGCCAGGCCCGGAAATCTGGATAGATGCGATAAGGATGTGAACGAGCCGGGCAACTTCGGGAGCGCTAAAGCCGGCTGATGGCGTCCTCAGGTCCTTCCACCGTCAACTCCACGCCGTCTTTGGTGTAGTCACGGGCAAGCACGACCAGCCCCAGACTGTCGACCCGGCGCTCGAGGTCCGAGCTGAGTGCAAAATCAGCACTGACTTTCCTGGAAAGAATTTTTCGATAGGGCACCAGCTTGGCATTGGCAATGGCGTCCTGGGCGGCGCCGGAATAGGCACGGGCGAGACCGCCACCCCCGAGTTTGGTCCCGCCAAAGTAGCGCACGACCAGCACACCGCAATTGATCAGTTCGGCACCTTGCAGAACCCTGAGGGTCGGCATCCCGGAGGTTCCAGCCGGTTCACCATCATCCTTTCCGCTTTCCTCGATCCTGCCGTTATCGAGAAGTTTGCGGTGCGCCGTGACCACATGATTGGCCTTCCGGTGTTCCTTGCGCAGCTCGTCCAGTCTCCGCTCGAAATGATCGAGTGGTACCAGGTGCGCCAGGAATCGGGATTTCCGGTCCTCCAGGAACCCCTCGTATTCGGTTGCAACGGTGTTGAAGGACATGAGACCTCAGGTCGGCATCCTGAAATGCTTCGACAGCTTCAGTGCCTGGCCCTGATAGTTGGAGCCGATGCCTTCGCCGTAAAGGCTCGCCGGACGTTCGGCCATATGCTCGTAGACCAGCCTTCCGATGGTCTGGCCGTGTTCGACAATGAACGGCACATCGTGCGAGCGTACTTCCAGAACGGCCCGCGATCCGACACCGCCGGCTCCTGCGTGACCGAAACCGGGGTCGAAGAAACCGGCGTAATGAACCCGGAATTCGCCGACAAGCGGATCAAAGGGCACCATCTCGGCCGCGTAGTCCGGCGGTACGTGCACGGCTTCCTGACTGACCAGGATGTAGAACGCATTCGGATCGAGGATAAGTTCACCCCTGTTACGCCGGTAGATCGGTTCCCAGAAATCGAGCGGATCCTGCGCACCGACCGCATCGACGTCAATCAGGCCCGAATGGTGTTTCGCACGATAGCCGATCAGGCTGCCCGGTCCGCCACCTTCCAGATCAATGGAAAGCTGAACCCCACCGCCGATGCGCTCGTTTCCGCCGCTCATCAGGGTTTCGGACTTGTGAATTTCTTCCAGTGTCGCATCGGGTATCAGTGACTGGCCCCGGCGAAACCGGATCTGGCTCAACCGCGAGCCACTGCGCAGGAGGATTGGAAAGGTAAGGGGTGAAATTTCCGCATAAAGGGGACCTGCATATCCCGCCGGAACGGTATCGAACGCCAGGCCGTTGTCCGTGATCACACGGGTAAAGACGTCAAGACGCCCTGTGGAACTCTTCGGATTGGCGGTTGCTGAAATGTCGGCTGCCAGGGCAAGAGCTTCCTGCAGCGGAACGATATAGACACAGCCCGTTTCGAGCACGGCGCCGTCCTCGAGGTCGACGGTATGAAGTTTGAGTTCTTCCAATCGGTCAGCGACCCGGATTTCGGGTCCGGGCAGGAAGCTTGCCCTGACACGATAGGCGACTGCGCCAAGCCGGAGATCGAGACTTGCAGGCTGGATCTGTCCGCTGACAGGTGGCGTGGTCGCGGAGATTTCTCCAGCTGCAAACATGGCCTTGATGATCCGCTCAGGCAGAATGCCGTTCGCTGCAAGAGTTGCGCTTCCGTTCAGGTCCTGACCCGCTGTCACGTTCATGAGAATTCCCGTCATCTTTCCAGAGGAGAATCCTTAAAGGATAGGGTGGCCCACGCCAACAGGCTTTGTCACGCGGCAGGCACTTTCGACAAAGATGATTGACCGGTGAAGCGTTTTCCCGTACGACAAACGCACTTCGTGGTGATTTGGGCCGGCCGGCTTGCAGCCACGTTAAACAAGTTGCTAAATAGGCCGGAGGTGCGAACCCCGGTCTTGAGGCTGGGGTTTTTTGCGTTTGGAGCGAACAAGAAGATGACTGAGACCACCAAGACCGGAAACAAGAACTGGCGTCCTGAAACCACTTTGGTTCACGGCGGCACCATGCGGTCGCCTTTTGGTGAAACCTCGGAAGCCATGTACCTCACCCAGGGCTTTGTCTACGACAATGCAGAGGCTGCGGAAGCACGGTTCAACGGCGAGGATCCGGGCTTCGTCTATTCACGTTATGCGAATCCGACGGTCTCCATGTTCGAGGACCGCATAAAGGCGCTGGAAGGTGCCGAAGCCGCGCGTGGAACCGCCAGTGGCATGGCCGCTGTCAATCTGGCCCTGATGGCCTCCGTCAAGGCCGGTGATCATGTGATCGCAGCCAAGGCGCTGTTCGGCTCCTGTCGCTATATCTGCGAAACGCTGTTGCCGCGTTTCGGTGTGGAGAGCACCCTTGTCGACGGCACGGATATCGAACAGTGGAAAGCTGCGGTGCGCCCGAACACGCGGGCGCTTTTTCTGGAGAGCCCGACCAATCCGACGCTGGAAGTCATCGATATTTCAGCGGTAGCAGATATTGCCAGGGAGGCCGGTGCACGTCTGGTCGTCGACAACGTTTTTGCGACGCCGCTTTACCAGTCACCCCTCAAGCTTGGCGCCGATGTGGTCGTCTATTCGGCAACCAAGCACATTGACGGCCAGGGCCGTTGCCTTGGCGGTGTGGTCCTGTCCGACGAGGAGTGGATCACCGAGGAAGTCATGCCCTTTGTCAAGCACACCGGACCGCACATGAGCCCATTCAATGCATGGGTGCTCATGAAGGGGTTGGAAACGCTCCATGTTCGTGTCGCGCGCCAGACAGATACAGCCCGCAAGATCGCGGACCATCTGGCCGGGAAGGCCAAGGTCAAACGATTGGTCTATCCGGGCCGCGACGATCATCCGCAGGCAGAACTCGCCAGGCGTCAGATGCGTGCGGGCTCGACGATGCTCGCACTTGAAGTTGAGGGAGGCAAGGAAGCAGCCTTCCGTTTCACCAATGCACTGGACATCATCCGGATCTCCAACAACCTCGGTGACGCAAAGAGCCTGATCACGCATCCGGCCACGACAACGCACCAGTCGATCGGAGAAGAAGCGCGTGCAGAACTTGGCATCACCGATGGCATTCTGCGCCTGTCCGTTGGCCTGGAGGATCCGCAGGACCTCCTGGAGGATGTCGAAAAGGCCCTCAACGCAGTTTGAGGCTTTGTCTCGACCGGCTGAAAGAGATTTCCTTGCCTCGACCCTAATTGAAGGCAGGGAAAAAGGAAGGCAGGGAACAACAGGCTGTAATGTCGGATGAGGTTGAGTTTTCCAGGTCTGGGTTTCCGCAGCATTCAGGCCTCGGCGATTTGCAAATGGCGGGCTAGGCGAGACCGGTTGCAGTCGGTCTTGGGATGACCGCCGCTTGCGACAGAGGAAACCATTTCGAAAAGCGCTTGCAAACGGCGATTTCACCCAGCAGCTTTATTGTCTCGCTTTTCAAGGCCGCCGCGAGCGGCAGGTCGCCCATCCAGATCTCCATCATGTGCCTGGACTGGCATGTGATGTAGGCATTCACATCCTTTCCCGGGTCCTGATGACACAGATCGACATCATCCTCGGTGCAGACCAGCCACCAGGTCCCGAACTGGTCCAGATCCGGAAACTGGAAACAGAGGACAGTTTCTCCATCCGGCAGCTGATCCAGCAAGATGTTGCGTTGAATGTCGAACATCAGGAAGGTCACGTCGACATCGTCGTCATCCATCTCATCACGTGCCCATCGCATACCCCAGACAGCAAGTGCGTCGACAACCGATGAAAGTTCCTTGCCTGCGGGTGTCAGCCTGTATTCGTGCCCGCGTTGACCGTTGATCGGGCGCTTGGTGATTACGCCACAGGCTTCAAGGTCCTTCAGCCGGGTGTTCAGAACTGTCGGTGAAATCTTCGGAAGTCCGCGCTGCAGACTGGAAAATCGAGAACTGCCAAGCAGGAGTTCGCGCACGATAAGGATAGACCACGGGTCGCCCAGAATTTCGGCCGATTTCGCGATCGGGCAGAATTGTCCGTATCTTTTCATTTCGCTCCTTCGTGAGAAAATCTTAGGACGAACAGGCCAACTACGCAATCCGTAGTTCGATACTACGCCTGCTGAAGTATCTCCGACCTCCGACATCCAATACCTGAATTGCATGGATGAAATCAGTGAAGGCGCCCGATCATTGCATCGATGCTCTGCGCCTTTACGCAATCGGAGACCCGAAATGAAACGTCCGGTACTGTTACTCTATGGCATCGTGAGCTATGCCGCTTTCAATATTTCTTTCCTGTATCTGGCAGGGTTCCTTTTGGATGTCGGTGTTCCGAAGTCCATCAATGAAGGCAATGTCGCATCCCTTGGAATTGCCGCGGTCACAAATTTCGGGCTGATTTTTCTGTTTGGCTTCTTTCACAGCCTGATGGCGCGGCAGTGGTTCAAGAATTGGTGGACCAGGTTCGTTCCGGTTGAAGCCGAGCGGAGTACCTATGTTCTTCAGGCTGCGGCGTTCCTGTCGCTCCTCATGGGCTTCTGGAAACCGATGCCGGCAGAAATCTGGTCCGTCACGGGTTGGAGTGCGGTAGCCGTCTATCTGGTCTTCGCGATTGGCTTGACGATTCTTCTGTTGTCGACATTTCTGATCGATCACTTCGAACTGTTCGGCCTGCGCCAGGTCTGGTCTGCAGGGAGGGGTTCCTCGATGCCGTCGCCGCGGTTCCGCACCCCGCTGCTCTATAAATTGGTGCGTCATCCGATGCAGTTGGGCGTCATGCTCGCGTTCTTTGCAACGCCTCATATGACCGTCGGGCATCTGTTCTTTGCAGTCGCCATGACCGGCTACGTCCTGATCGGTCTCTATTTTGAAGAACGCGCGCTGGTGCGGGAGTTCGGCGACAACTATCGGGACTACCAGGCTCGTGTCCCAATGCTGCTGCCCAATCCTCTTCGGTTATTTTCCAGAGCGCCGTCAAAGCACGCAGCCTGACGGCACCCGGATTGCTCCCTCATTTTCCTTTTCTGACTGAACTGAGTGCCCAAGATCGGTATCGCCTGGGTACAAAAGCGGGCGATGCGGGCGCAAGCTTCGCGTCGCCTGCATGGCAGACCTCTGTATATGGAGACAATTCAGGCGGCGGCTTGCCCAGTGTCGTTTCGAGGCAATTCATCTTGTACTTCAAGTTGAATTCTGTCAGAGAACCGATTCAGATCATTGAGATATTCGACAGTGATCGATCTGACAGTTTTGACTTGGGACACCAGTTCATGACGATGCAGCCGGAAACAGGCTATCAGGCCTACGTCATCTGCACCTCGCCGCGCAGTGGCAGCACCCTGTTGTGCAAGTTACTGGCTGCAACAGGTCAGGCGGGTGATCCAAGATCCTATTTCCACAATGCGGATGTCGGGGACTGGCAGAGGTCACTCGGACTGGATGAAACGTCTTTCGCCAATGAAAAAGAGCAGTTAACGACAGTCCTTGAGACGGCGCGCAACAAAGGGACTGCCGGGAGCGGAATCTTCGGCCTGAGATTGCAACGCAAGAGTTTCGATTATTTCGTCCGCCAGCTTGCGATCTTGTGTCCGGGCAGGGAAACCCATTCCGGGCGCTTTGAAGCAGTCTTCGGCAAAACGCTGTTCATTCACCTGACGCGAAGCGACAAACTTGCTCAAGCGGTTTCCTTCGTCAAGGCCAGCCAGACTGGGCTATGGCACAAGGCACCGGACGGCACGGAACTGGAAAGACTGGCACCACCGCGCGAGCCGAACTATGACGCGGCGCTGATCCGGGAACATGTTGATCTTATGACTGCCTACGATCTTGCGTGGGCGGATTGGTTCAAGGCGGAGAACATCATGCCGCTCCGGATAACCTACGATGATCTCTCCAGGGACCCGGAAACGGTCATCGAAGAGACACTTGTCCGGATTGGACGGGATCTGGCACACGCGAAAAACATCGATTTGCCCGTTGCCCGCCTGTCGGACGGGGTCAACAGGGCATGGATCGAACGCTTCCGTTCAGAGACGCAATCCGATCCGGATATCACCGGTCAAGACTGACCGCTTCACGACCCTTGGGTCATCAGACCCATAAGACCGGCGGCGCTAATCAGGACGGATCCGCTCACGCGGTTCAGTGCCTTCGGATGCTGCTTGAGATGCCCGGCCAGACCGTTTGCACCTGCCGCGTACAGCATGACGAACAAAAAATCGAGAAACGTCATCGTCGGGCACATCAGCATAAGTTGTGTAACCAGGTCCCTTTCCGGGTCGATGAATTGCGGGAAGAAGGCAGTAAAGAAGATAAGCGCCTTGGGATTGCTGAAGGCGACCAGAAATCCCGCTGTGAAGAGACGTGTGGGTTTGCCGCCAAGATGGCTGTCCGGTTCCGGTTTTTGCAAGGCAGGAGCGTGCCATGCGCGCCATCCCATGTAGAGCAGAACCCCGACGCCTGTCCATTTGATGATCTGGAAGGCAAGTGCGGAATGCGCGAGCACGACACCAAGGCCGATTGCGACGAGAATCATCTGGATCATGTTCGCACTGACATCGCCAAGGGCCGTGAAAAGTGTTCTCCGGGCCCCGAAGTGCAGTGAGTGCACCATGCCGAGAAGAATGCTTGGACCCGGGGTCATGGTCAGCAGGAGTGATGCGGCAACAAAGGCCAGCCAGGTTTCGAGGGACATGAAGTGTTCCGGTTGCGTGATGGATTGGAAATTCAATAATTCTCAGATATAAAAAACATAAGAAAATAACTTCAGGTTATGTATTTATGAGACGATCGCCCGAAGCCGACATCCCGATAACAGTTGCCAGAGCGCTGAGGTTTATCCAGACCTCGGGAAGTGTATCCGTTGCTGCACGTTCTCTCGGCATCAGTCAGCCTGCGATAAGCAAGGGTATTGCGCAGCTGGAAGAGCGTCTGGGGACGCAACTGTTGCGGCGGGGTGGAAGGCCGATCCTTTTGACAGAGGAAGGAACAGCGCTTGCGGAATACGCTGAGCGTGCTGACCTTGTTCAGGAACAGGTGCTGCGTAAGCTCGATGATGCCAGGAACAACAGGCAGGGAAGCGTCAGGCTCGGGTCTTTCGGGTCCTCTGCGTCATTTCATATCCTGCCGAAGACACTGGCGGCATTCGCAAGGGCCTATCCCGGGATAAACGTCGAAATCCAGGAATATCCGGACATGGAACTTCGTCAGGCTCTGGAAGAGGATTTCGTCGATCTGGCGGTCTTGTCCCTTGGGTCGGACGAAGGTCTGGATGTCATTGAAATCGCAAATGACAAGCTTGTCGCATTGGTGAGCGCGGATCATCCCCTGGCAGACAGAAACACGCTCAAAGCCGAAGATCTTGCGGGGGACCCCTTCATCATGACCAGGGGCGGCAGCGGCCCGTTGGTCGAGGACTGGTTCATGAAAACCGGACACACACCAAGGGTGGCTCACACGATCCTGCAGGTGAACTCGATAATCGCGCTGGTCGAGGCAAATCTCGGCGTCTCTGTCATCGCGGAGCTTGCGCTGCCCGAAACGCCCGGCAAATGCAAGGTTTTGCCGCTGGTACCCGACGCACCGCGATCAATCGGCTTCGCACGCAAGGAAGAAACACCGCGTTCGGCAGCTGCAGCCAGGTTCTGGAGTTTCTGTCAAAGGTTTTCGGCCTGAACACCGCCCATTTGAATGTGTTTTCGACCGCTTCTAACGGTCGAGCGACTTTACGCCGATCATCACGCGTGCGCCCGCCGAAACAAAGCAGACAGCTGCAAATGCCCACGCCAGCACTGGAAACCAGTCAGGCAGCAAAGCCATCAGCAGGAACAGGGCGATCGTCTCGGTACCTTCGGCCAGACCGCCAAGATAATAGAGAGATTTCTGACCCTGCCTGTCGGTTGAAAGCCCGCGGCGCTCCGCCATGATCGCAAAGGCCAGAAACGCAGAGCCGTTGGCGTAGAAACTGCAAAGGAGTGCTGCAGCAGGCAAGGCATTGGCAGCCGGGTCCTGGAGCGCAAAGGCCAGCGGAATGACGCCATAGAAGACAAAATCGAGCGTAATATCGAGATAACCGCCCAGGTCGGTTTTCCGGGTCGCCCGCGCAACGGCACCATCCAGACCGTCTGCAATGCGGTTGAACGCGATCAGGACAAAGCCAAGGAGAAAATAACCCGCAGCAATTGCGACCGCGGCCCCCATTCCCATTGCGAATCCGACCAGCGTGACGAAGATCGGACCGACACCGGCATTGGCAAGAGCGAAGCCCAGGCGGTTGAGGAGCGGGTCGATCAAGGGTCGGATACGGGCGTCGAACACTAATTGAGGTTCCTGACTTGGACAAATCAGCGCTGTAAATGCAAAATCCTTTCGGAAATCACAAGTAAGTCTCTTTCACGCTTATGTCATTCGCCCTATAAGCCCTTCCTGAAGTTGCGGATAACCGCCCCAGGATTGAAGGAACAACCGTGTCAGGCAGTTACAGCGCCATTACGCAGGGAATCGAAGTCTCTGTCGAGCCGTTTTATCTCGACGATGAATCGAAACCGGAAGAGAGCGAATTCATCTGGGCGTATATGGTCGAGATCCACAATAGCGGTTCCGAACCGGTGCAGTTGAAAACGCGGCACTGGCAGATCACCGATGGCTTCGGCCGTCTGGAGGAAGTAAACGGCGAGGGTGTTGTCGGGGAACAGCCCGTGATCGAACCCGGCGAAACATATGAATATTCGTCACATTGCCCGCTTTCGACCGACAACGGTATCATGGCGGGATCGTACGCCATGGAACGGCCGGACGGCAGCCGTTTTCACGTCGCCATCCCACCATTTTCCCTGGACCTGCCGGACGCGATCCGCAGCCTGAATTGACAGCGGTCGCCGGTTCGCGGTGCATATCGTCAGCCCCGCGGTTAACCCTACCGGCACACGCTGAACAGCTGGGTCAGACCTTGCGGTGACGGGCAATCGCGCCGCGTTCGATGGCCGCAACAGTCAGTTTGTCGAGGCTAAAACGGTCGCGAAGCATCTGCAGGACACGGAGTTCTTCCTGTTCGACGTGTAGATCGGCTGCAGCAACCTCCACCGCCAGAGCATAGGCAGTATCGTAGAGTTTCGCAGGCAGGACGTCGCCGACCAGTTCCAGGACAAGCGACAGGCCGTTTTCTTCCTGAAGGATGTCGCCACACCGTTGTGCGGCCGGAATGATCCTGTTTTCGTTGTAGGTTTCAAACACCGGCAACATTTTGATCATGTCACCGATCGTGGCCAGTTCCTTGTCCGTCATAGCGTTGTCTGACGCTGACACAATCACCATCACGTAGATGAGGGCTTCCTGAACGCTGATCGGTTCATTGCTAGACACTATTCAATCTCCAGTGCGCCGGTTTTGGGCAAATCGAAGGCCCGGTTTATAGGGTTGTCAGGAAAGCTTCAAGTCACGGAAAGGCGACAATCGATTGACGTTTGCGTCGTGCTTTTCTAGTGTCGCGCCGCAACATAAGGCTTCGCGTCAGTAAACCAGCCGGAATTGCACTGACTTCTTCCAATTTAGCAGAATGAAACCCGAACATGACCGACCAATCCCTGCCTTCGCTTGACCTTTCGCAAGAATTTGTCGAGGCGGCCACCAAATCGAAAGCGTGGCCGTTCGAAGAAGCGCGAAAACTGGTCAAACGCATCGGAAGTCGGGATTCGGAAAAACCGGTTCTGTTTGAAACGGGATACGGCCCTTCCGGGCTGCCTCATATCGGTACCTTTGGCGAAGTGCTGCGCACCACCATGGTGCGGACGGCTTTTCGCCTGTTGACCGAGGACAAGATTCCGACACGGCTTCTGTGCTTTTCCGACGATATGGACGGCATGCGCAAGATTCCGGAAAACGTTCCGGACCGTGCAGCGCTGGAGCCCTACCTGCAGATGCCGCTCAGCACCGTCCCGAACCCCTTTGGCGGCGACTACGAGAGTTTTGCAGCGCACAACAACGCCATGCTGCGCCGGTTCCTGGACACATTCGGCTTTGACTATGAATTCGCAAGTGCGACCGAGTACTACAAATCCGGAAAATTTGACGAAGTGCTTGTCCGGGCGACCGAAAAGTATCGGAAGATCATGGATGTGATGCTGCCGACACTCGGTGAGGAACGTCAGGCCACCTATTCCCCATTTCTGCCGATCTCGCCGACCTCGGGCCGTGTTCTTTATGTGCCCATGAAAGACGTGAACCCCAGGGACGGGACGATCACATTTGACGATGAAACCGGCGAGGAAATCACCCTGTCCGTGACCGGCGGCAAGGTGAAGCTGCAGTGGAAACCGGATTTCGGGATGCGCTGGGCGGCTCTTGATGTCGACTTCGAGATGTTCGGCAAGGATCACCAGACCAATGCACCGATCTATGACAAGATCTGCAACATCCTGGGTGGCAAGGCTCCGGAGCACTACGTCTATGAACTCTTCCTTGACGAAAACGGTGAGAAAATCTCAAAGTCGAAGGGCAACGGTCTGTCGATCGACGAATGGCTGACTTATGCGTCGCCGGAAAGTCTTGCGCTGTATAATTTTCAGAAGCCGAAAACAGCCAAGAAGCTCTATTTCGATGTCATTCCGAAGGCCGTGGACGAATACTATACCTTCGTCCAGAAATATGAGCAGATGCCGGTGGAGCAGAGACTTCAGAATCCGGCCTGGCACATCCATTCCGGAAACATTCCGAAGATAGATATGCCGGTTCCCTTCGCCATGCTGTTGAACCTTGTTTCCGCGTCGAATGCGGAAAACAAAGAGGTGCTTTGGGCTTTCATTTCCCGCTACGCGTCCGGCGTGACGGCCGAAACGCACCCGGAACTGGACGCGCTGGTTGGCTATGCGATCCGCTACTTCGATGATTTCGTCAAACCGACGAAATCCTTCAAGGTTCCCGATGACACCGAGCGCATGGCGCTCGAACAGCTGGACGCAAAACTGGCCGGTCTTCCTGAGAATGCGGATGGGGCCGAAATCCAGGACGCGGTCCTGGACGTTGCCCGCGCAATCGAACGTTATCAGGACCCGAAAAAGAAGGGGCCGGACGGCGGTCCTGGCGTGTCGGTGGCCTGGTTCTCCGCGCTCTACCAACTGCTTCTGGGGCAGGAGAAGGGCCCGCGTTTCGGGTCTTTCGTCGCCCTTTACGGCATTGACGAAACACGCGAGATGATCCGCAAGGCATTGGGCGGCGAACTGGCTGCTTGAGCCAGGTGAACAAAAAGGGGTGGAGATTTGGTCTTCACTCCAGATTGTCAATCGGACGACGCGATTGTCCGAACACGTTCCAGGCTGGCATCGAGGCCTTTTTCAATTAATCTGACAGTCCCGAGTTCCTGAAGCTTCACAAGGCCTGCGGCAGTCGTGCCCCCGTAGTCGACCATTTCCTTCACAAAAAAATCAGGTGAATGGTCACTGACCGACATAAGTTTACCACTCGACAGAAACAGCTGCTTGACCGACTTCACGGCCGCATCCGGGGCAACATTGTTTGCCAGGGCAAATTGCACGAGACAATCGGCAAAGAAGGCGGCAAAGCCGGGCACAGGACCTGTGAGGACTGTGAAAACCTCTATCTGTCCTTCGTCCGCAACTTCATCCGCAGCGCCAATTGCGGACAATAGCCCTTGAACAGTTCTGCGGTCGGCAGCATCCAGTCCATCTTTTGTAAACCAGGCGGAATAGGCTGACCTTTGCCGGGCAGCAGGGCTCGACATTGCGCGCACGGCCTTGCGAGTTCCCGTAAATTCCCGAATCTGCTTGTGCGAGACACCTGCCATAACCGAAATAACCAGCTTGTCGCTGGCGGAAACATTCAACTTGCCAGTCTGGTCAGGCGGGACGGACAGAACGATCACGTCACAGGCTTCGGCAAGAACCTGGTTTGAGGCGGTGAAATTGACTTCCGGCCAATCGGCAAAGCCGCTTGCCTTACCGGACCGGTTCGAGATCCAGAGATCTTGCGGACTGACGTGATTGCTTTCAAGCCAGCCGGTTGCCATGGCGGCACCAAGCTGACCCGTTCCACCGACAATCCCGACCTTGAGTTTGTGTGACATGGCGGTCTCCGATAAGCGACAGGATTTTTGGAGCCTAGAGGCAAGTTTACGAAACGCAGGTAAGTTAATCGACGTCTTCCGAATGGGATGCGACAGTACTGGGCGGTCGTCGCAGTTTGACAATGAGTTCCCGAACCGTCCGGCCTTGCATCATTGCTGTGGAAGATCTTCAGCGACATCCGGTTCGAATCCGAAGAACTCCTGGTTCGGATCGGCCGATTCCGTTCGCTGGCTCCACTCGACGATTTCCGGTTCCAGATCTTCAAGACCGGGCAGGGGTGCATTCGGATCGGCATCCCACCGCGAGTCCGGGGTCGCAAATTGCCACTGGTCCTGCCACTTCCCGAGTTTGCGTTGTTTCGCCAGAAGTGCGAAGTCCTGAAATCCCTCAGGGGCGCCGGGCGCCGGATCCGCCCAGCCATAGCGCACAAGACGGGTGCTCAAGTCGATCTTGCCCCGCTTGCAGGTCGCCAATATCTCTTGCGGTCCGGTTTCTGCAATCTTTTCGCACGTGATCTTGAATTGCCGGATCAGGCCGCGCAAAAACGTTCTGGCGCGCGTGCCACAGGGCCAGACGCCGCCTTGCTGGGCGATGCAGGTTTCATCTATCTTCATCGGCTCGATATGCGCGAGCGTAACGACCAGTTTCTTCGATTTTATCCGGCCTCCGTCCAGAACCTGCACCCGAATGAGTTCAAGTGGTCCGTCCGGGACCGGTTCGACCGGTGGATTGACGAGCTCCTGAAACCGCTTGGAAGGTTCTATACGCTTCAGGCCACCGCTGACCTGAGGTGCGGAAACCCCGTCGGGTGAGACATTGCGTATGTCCACCGGGAGCGGTGCTGCTGTCGCGGCCGGATCATCCGAAGACAACTTTCCCTCAGTTGGAATTTCAGGCTCGGAAATTTCGTCCGTCGTTTCCGCAAGACCAGGTCTCAGCGCTTCGGCAATCTGGGATTCTGGAGCTTCGGGCGGTTCTGCCAGCAGCAACCAGGCAACCACACCGCCGGAGACGGTGAGCAAGAGAGCAGGCACCAGGAAAGGCCGAAGCTTCATCGCGAGTCACTTGTTTCCTTTTGGAGTGCAATCATAAGGCCTGGAAAAACGAATTCCGAGAAATTTAAGCCACGCCATACTGCATTTTCCCTGTGAATTTGTCATTCCTCAAGAAAGTCCGGCGGTCCGGCTTGTTTGGCGGCAGCCCTGTGAGTAGTGTCCGCGCGGATCGAGTCCGGTCCCGCAAAAGATCGGCAAAACAGGAACAGTCACGGTATTAGGCAGTCATGACACTGATTTTCAAGATCGTCCCGAGAACGATGTGGCAGGAAGCCGTCGACGCGGGTGTCTTCAAGGGTGCGCCGATCGATCTGACCGACGGGTTCATTCACTTTTCGACTGCACAGCAGGTCCGGGAAACAGCCGCAAAACACTTCAGCGGTCAGACAGATCTGCTGCTGGCAGCATTTGACGCCGAAACACTCGGCGAGGCCCTGAAATGGGAGCCATCGCGGGGGGGAGCGCTGTTTCCGCACTTGTATGATGATTTGCGGCCGGGAGATGCAATCTGGGTTCGCGAGCTGCCATTGTCCGACAAGGGAACACACGTCTTTCCGGAGCTTGACGGATGAGATCCGGCTGGATTGAAGGTGTTGCACTCAGGGGACTTCATTTTCTTGATGCGGAAAATGCGCACCGTGTAACCGTACTTGCCCTGAAAGCTGGGTTGATATCTGGTGGCAACACGTCGGCCGACCCGCGTCTCACCTCGAGTTTCTGGGATCTGGAGTTTCCCAATCCGCTCGGTATGGCAGCCGGGTTCGACAAAAACGCCGAAGTGCCCGATGCACTTCTGAACCTGGGATTTGGCTTTACGGAAGTCGGCTCCGTGACGCCCAGACCTCAACCTGGCAATCCGCGGCCGCGCGTGTTTCGGCTGCCAGTTGATGAAGGCGTCATCAACCGCTATGGCTTCAACAATGATGGCCACACGGCAATGCGCAAACGTCTGTTGTCGAGAAAGCGGAACGATGGGATCGTCGGCATCAATGTCGGTGCCAACAAGGATGCCTCTGATCGAATTGCCGACTATGTCGCCGGAATAACCGAATTCGCCGACATGGCTTCCTATTTCACGGTCAACATTTCGTCGCCGAACACGCCGGGCCTGAGGGATCTGCAGGCGCGTTCGGCTCTGGCCGATTTGCTGCAGGCCGTCGTTTCGGCGCGCGATCTGTGTGCAGACAAGGCGGAACGCCGAGTGCCGTTGCTGCTCAAGATTGCGCCCGACGTCGTAGATGAAGATCTGAAGGACATTGTCGAAGAGGTGCTGGAAAAGTCCCTCGACGGATTGATCGTCTCCAACACGACCGTCGGCAGAGACGAACTGGCTGGAACCGGACCTCATCAGGAAACAGGAGGGCTGTCCGGCAGACCGCTCTTCAGGAAATCTACGGCCGTCTTGGCACGCGCCCGCAAGCTGGCGGGTCCGGACCTTCCCATTGTCGGCGTTGGTGGCATCGATAGTGCCGAAACCGCCTGGACAAAAATCACTGCCGGTGCTGATCTGCTGCAGCTCTATTCGTCACTTGTCTTCAAGGGACCGGCCTTGATCGGCGAGATCCTGTCGGGACTTGCGGACAATCTCGACCACTATGGCTATGCGTCCTTGCGGGAAGCAAGGGACCAGAATGTGGATGTTTGGGCCTCGGAAGAGATCTAGACCTGCGCAAAGGCCTTGTCGGCGCGCCGCCTGCATGCGGCCAGAAGCGTCACGCCGCGCAATCCCAGAAAAATCGACAGCGCGAGCCAGAGACCGTGATTTCCCAACAGTGGAAACAGGACATGGTAAGCGGCGATATAGACTGCGAGAGACAGCAGCATCATGTTTCGCATTGTGCCTGACCAGGTTGCGCCGATGTAAATTCCGTCCATCTGAAAGGCCAGAACGCCGAGCAAAGGCGCCAGGACAGCCCAGATGAGATAGGTATTCCCAAGCGCCCGAACCTCGTCGGAAGTCGTCATGAAATCGATCAGGGCGGACCCGAAAATCACGAAGACGGCAGACAGCAAACCTGCCATTGCGAAACTCCACAATGCGGTCAGTTTGAGTGTCCGGTCGAAGGCGGGGCGGAACTTTGCTCCGACGGCCCGGCCTGCCAGTTGCTCGGCAGCGGTTGCAAGTCCGTCGAGGAAATATCCGGAAACCAGTATGAATTTTTCGAGGACGGCGTTGGCAGCAAGCACCGTATCACCCTGGTCTGCCGAGCGTGCCATGAAGAATGCATAGGCATAAAGAAGCGCAAAGGACCGGATCAGGATGTCCCGATTTAGAGCCATCATGCGCAACAGAAGCCGCCGGTTGAAAATGATCGCGGGTTTCGGCCAGGTTCCGCGCCGGACGCTGGTCAATATCAGGAAAAGGCCGAGCAGTGTTGCCGCTGCCTCGCTCAAGACGGTCGCCGCCGCAACACCTTCGACGCTCCACCCGAGTCCCATGACAAACCAGATGCTGAGAACAATGTTCAACCCGTTCAGGACAAGCTGCAGCAGCAGCCCGGTGCCCGCCCGGCCAAGTCCGATGAACCATCCGAGTATGGCGAAGTTCGCAAGAAGGAAAGGTGAGCTGAGCACACGTATGTCGAAGTAGCGGGCCGTGACGGATCGAACATCGGCACTGCCACCGAGAAACCATTGGCCGGTTTCCCGGATAGGTGACTGGAGCGCAATTACCAGAACACCTCCCACAAGCGCAATGACAAGCGCTCTCAAAAGGGTTGCCTTTATCTCCTCATCGTTACGTGCTCCGGCGGCCTGAGCCGTCAGTCCGGTCGTTCCAGCGCGCAGAAAGCTGAATGTGGTGAACACCAGGTCGAATATGATCCCGCCAAGCGCGATCCCGCCGAGCAGCGCGGCATCGCCGAGCCGTCCAATGACAGCCATGTCGACCACGCCCAGAAGCGGTGTCGACAAATAGCCGAGCGTCATGGGAATGGCGATGGCCAGCACGGAACGGTGCGTCACTGCGAAGGATAGGCGGGACGGATCGTCCGTGCCATTGGAATGGGGCATGAGGGGCTCTGATCTGAACAAGGCCCCTTCATGTCCAGCGACAACGCGTTCGTCAATCGCTTTTCGGTTTTTTGTCCGTTTCCGGGTAACTGGTTCCCCAATCATAGAGCGCTTCGAGAACCGGTCCGAACCTGGCACCCATTTCCGTCAGAACGTATTCGGCGCGCGGAGGATGACTGGAGTAAAGTCGACGCTCCAGTATGCCGGTGTTTTCCAGGTGCTTGAGACGGTTGGAAAGTGTGTTCGGCGACAATCCCAATTCCTGCTGCAGGTCCTGGAATCTTCGCTTTCTTCCTTCCAGGAAGAATTCCCGGAGGATCAGAAATGACCATTGGTCTGTCAGAATATCTGTCGCCCGGCGGATAGGGCAGTGAGCGCGGGAAATATCTTTCATGAACTGAAATGTAGGTGACCCATTGCAATTTGTGAAGTAACTACGAAATTAGAAGTCACTTCACAAATGGAAGTAAGGAGAGAAGTGCATGTTTTCAACATTCCTTGAATTTTATGTCCGCGCGTTCGCTACGCTGCTGCCGGTCCTCGCCGTCATTACCGTTGCAATCGCAGCACAAAGGGCAAAATTGTCCTTGCGCAAAACCGCGATTGCACTGTCGGTGCTCGGGATTGTTTTGGGTCTTTGGTACGCCCTGGCAGCAAGAGCGGGCGAGCTCGGGCTGCTGATGCCGCCCCAGACGCCAACTGGTATACCCTACGTTCTGATCTTCCTGTTCGGTGGGGCAGGTTTGCTTGTTTTGCTGGGTAGCGCGACGCATGTCGGGCGAAGAATTGCCGAAAGTGCAGATCAGCGCGAGATGATCGCCTTCCAGGTGCCACGGGTTATGGGATTTGTGTTCCTTGTCGGTTGGGCCTTCGGCGAAATTCCCTGGCAATTTGCACTGCCTGCCGGGGTCGGCGACATCTGGGCCGGAATTGCTGGATGGCAGGCATTCAAGGCGCTTGAACAGGGCAGGGCAAATGCAAACGCACTCGTTTGGCGAGCCAACATTATCGGTCTTGCCGATTTCGCAATTGCAGTCCTGACCGGCGTTCTGACCTCGGAAGGTTTCCTGCACGTCATGGCATTGGAAGAACCGAACATCATCAACAACTACCCGCTTGTTCTGTTTCCAGCCTTCTTTGTTCCGATTTTTCTCGCTGCACACGTCTTTTCGATCCTGCAGCTCCGCCGCGCGGCTCGCCATAAAACGGTTACCGCATGACAAAGCGACCGCCGGCGCATAGCCGCCGGCGGCATTTGCCGGACTGGCAGGAATTGAGAGAAGCACTATAGTGCACCTGATGCCTTTGCCGATCGTTCATCACCCGGCCTATTGCGCCGATTTGCCCGCAAATCACCGGTTTCCCATGGACAAGTTTCGAGCGGTTGCGGATTTGATCCGCGCGGAAAGCCTGCTTGACGGGCGACCGTTTTTCCGCCCGCGGCCTGCTCCATTTGAATGGATCGCCCTTGCGCATGATCCCGCTTATGTCGATCAGGTCTTCAACGGCAAGGTTCCGGCGAAGGTCGCCCGGGAAATCGGATTTCCAATGCGTGCCGACATTGCGTTGCGCGCGCAATGTGCCACAGGTGGCACTGTTTTGACCGGTTATCTTGCTCTTGAGCATGGCATCGCCTGCAACACGGCTGGCGGCAGTCACCATGCGCGCCGTCTCCATGGTGCCGGCTTCTGTGTATTCAACGATGTAGCCGTGGCAATCAGGGTCATGCAAGCCGACAGCGCCATCCGAAAGGTGCTGGTCCTGGATCTTGATGTCCACCAGGGCGACGGCACTGCGGACATTTTTCAAGGAGACCCTGACGTCTTCACCTTCTCGATGCATTCCCAGAAAAATTACCCGGTCCGCAAGGTCCCCTCGCATCTTGACATCGGGTTGCCGGATGAAACCGGCGACGAGGGTTACATGAAGTCGCTGTGCGCTGTTTTACCGGACCTTCTTGAACGCGAACGTTGGGACATTGTTTTCTA